ATTAGAAAAGGAAAGAAAGGATCCCCTTCAGTCCACTGACCAATTTCACTAGAGCACCAGCCCCCCAAAACAGTGTATCAGTGCCCCCAATCCTCTGTGGGTATCACCCCTGCCCCCAGTACTCACCATGCTGGACTGTAACAGTGCATCCCCCTCCCTAGCAACCACCAATCTTTCCCAGTGCCCACAGTAGGGCCAGTCCCAGGGGCCAGACCCTAGAGTGGTCTACTCTCCCCTCCGGGCCCCACCCCCCAACCTCCCCTGCCCTGAGCTCCCGCTTCCTTCTGGTGGGCTTAGCCAACAGAAGGCATGGACTGGTCAGAGGGTGGAAGGAGAGCACATGGGCGGAGCTGTTCCTTCCCTAAAGTTCTTGCAGGCAGTCACACCTCCCCGGCCACTCTGCCTGACCCCACATCCTTTAGCTGCACCCCCTAGCTGCACCTCTCACCCGCTGCCATTCAGGACCAAAATGCTGAGAAATTGGGACTTTAACGTGAGGGTCAAGGAGCATGGCTGCCTTGAGACACCCCTCTGGCGTGCAGGTTATAGAAACTGAACCTGGAAGGAGGGGGCAACAGGGAACTGGGCTGAGACTGGAGAGAGGAGGCAAAGGAGGAGGAGGAGAGCCGGGGAAGGGGCTGCTCCTGGGCGCGGTGAGGTGTCCTGAGCCAGGGCCAAAGAGCAGCAGCAGAGGATCTGTGTTAAGAGGCTTCTGGTCTTTCACTCTCCTCCTCTCACAGCAGAATAGGAGAAGGGGGAGGGGACTTGGGCAGGGGTCTAGTGGTGCGGTGAGGGAGTAGGAGTGGAGGATGGGGGTTTTCTTCCTTTTTCCCTTCTTAGTGCGAAGGCAGTCCCCCACTACCACAAACTGCACAGTCAGGTTTCCCACGCTGGGGGCCATCGCAGGGGCCAGCACATCTGGAGTGCGATGGATAAGCCTCGCCTTGGGAAAGCCTCCTTCCAGGTAAGGATGAGGAGGGGGTTTTCAGTCCTTCTCCCTCAGGCGCAATCCTCCTCTCAAGGGCTCAGCGCCGGAGGGTGGGAGAGGGACTCAGCCACCTTTCTCTCCACCCCCTTCAATTCAAGGTTTAAGTGGGGCAAAGTTAGTGCCCTTTCTCTTTAAAAATAGAAATAACGGGGCCTCCTTGGTGGCACAAGTATCAATGCTATCAAGCTATCGCCAGCCCCTGTGGCATGACTTCGATCCCCGGCCAGGGAGCTGACCCCCATGGTGCAGACCCACATGGCGCAGCAGACCTCTCCTGTCTCACCTGCTGCTCCCCTCGGCAGTGTATTTCAGTGGATCCGCCTGTTTGCTCCCCACTCTGTCTCTGGTGAATCCTCTCACACACACACCCCTCACCCCCTGCACCTCTGGCCTACACCCCAGCTCTTGTATGCATAAATAAATAAAAAATAAATCTTTTTAAAAATAGAAATAACAGGGGAGCCCCCAACGCCCCACCTCTGTCTTCATCATCATCAGTTGCTCCTGCTGGAGTCTCTCAGCTTGGGGATGGGGGCTCAACATGGATTCAACATGCTGAATTATGTTACTTATGTTCTACCTATCTGTTGGGTTGGCTGAAACAAGAGTTGAATCTCACTAAATGCCAAATGATCCCTGGCCTACTGTAGAGGAGAGAGTCCAAAGTCTGGTACAAGGTAGAGGAGAGAATCCAGAAGGGTCCAAAAGTCTCAGGAAGATTCACCCATTTGTTCAAAATAAATGTTGGATTGAATTTACCACGGACAACTTACCTTTTCTCTAATTACCTCTCTGGAGGGGACCTACAAGATACTCCTATCACAAGGTCTTGGGAAGTCCATTGCTCAGGGAAGTGTCTTTGAAAAGCTTCAGTTTGCTAGGGCTGCTGGACCAGGTACCACAAACCCAAGGGCTTAAACAACAAAATGCATTGTCTCATAGTTCTGGAGGCGGGAAGTTTGAAAGCAGCGTCAGCTGGCCTGTGCTCACTCCAAAGGTGCAAGGTAATTTGATTTGGGGCCCAACCTACTCCAGCCAGGCCTCATTACATCTGCAATAACGCTAGTTCTCTAAAAGGTCACATTATGAGGTGCTAAGGATTAGGTCTTCAATGTATGAATTTGAGGTGGGGCCCGATTCCACTGGCAATAAGCACCATAGTTACTACTCTCCGTGGCTTAGGTGCTGCACCTCCCCCTGCAGTGACCTTTAGGGCTAATGGCTTTCGCCACCGTCCCTAGGTCCGGCTGGGCAAGGAACCAGCGCGCAGGGGGAGAACAGCAAAACACCCTGAAGCAGGGGAAGTACAGCAAAGTTCCCTGAAAAGACAGAAGCTTATCAAAAGATAACGACCACCAGGAACCACTACAAGAATGCTAAAAAACCTTATCCCGTCTTTCTAGAACTACAAACTTTAATCCCTTATTGTCTTTTTAAACTTCCTTCTTTCTTCTATAAAGGTCATTGCTTGTTAATTAAAAAATTATATGAAATCCTTAAAACAAGGCTGACTCAAATGAAACATTACTAAACCCTGTAATAATTAAAATATAGTTTAGGTAAAAAAGTAGTTAGTAAAAAATGCGATTATATAGTTTAAAAACAAAACTAATGGTCTATCTACTTAGGAATGAGGCTGGGTCCAGATGTAGATCACCGCCCTGTCGGTGATAGGCTGAGCCCATGAGCAAGCTGATTTCATTGATATTCATTGTTCCTGTGCTTTTGGAAAACATATATATACTGGTCACAAACTCAAAGAAAATTACACTCAGATTTACACTCTCTCTTGAAGTGTGTCTGTTTGTCATTTCTTTCACCAACTCCCTGACCACCCTGCAAGTTTCTCTCAACCCTGAGATGGCCTCATCGTCTACTGCTGTGCTGGTCCGCGGCACTTAGGTATTCCTTGGAGCATGAGAGCTGAAATGGCTCCTCGATTGACTACAGACACTGTGACTGGGTGACAGCCAAGTGTCAGCACTGAATTGCAGAGAGACAATGATAGGCCTTGGGACTTGCAGGTAATCTGAATGGTCAGACTGGCAAGGATTACCAGGCCCCAAGGACCAACACAGGTGAGGAGGCCAGCAGAAACCTCCTTGATGTGCACAACAGGAGCCCAGAGACCTGATCACAGAAAGATCTTTCACCTGTAAATCCAGGGGTCCCCAAGGGCAGTGCCCTTTAAAGGGGGCACTGTGAAGGTGCCCTTGCCTCAGGAGCCTTCTCCAAGAATCCCGTGCCCCTTAACTATTTCTGCTCTACCACAGAATCATTTTTGACTTTTAATTAAATAGTTTTGTTCAGGGCCTCCTTGGTGGCACAGGGGCTAAAGACACAGTGCTATCAAGCTATGGCCAGCCACTGCAGCGTGATTTTGACTCCACTGCTCCTCTCAGCAGTGTATTTCAGTCAATCCTCCTGTTCTGCTCCCCACTCTGTCTCTGGTGAATCCTCTCACCCACCTCCCACCCCCTGCACCTCTGGCCTACACCCCAGTTCTTGTATGCATAAATAAACAAATCTTAAAAAAAAAATACTTTTGTTCAACTAACAATGAGCCCAGATCCAGGGGGTGAATAATGACTGGTCTAAACCAAATATGGCAGCACACCCTTTTGTGGGCAATAATTATGTACAGTAGTCATATGGTTTATATATAGCACATCGTGTATCATCCAAATGTTGCTGAAACCTATGTCTTTGCAACAATATTTCATTCCATCCATATATGTTCTTATCAGATGATTCCTGTTTCTTAGGAACCCAAAATGCCATGAAAGTATTCAGCATGTCCATAATATAATTGCTCTGCATAGCTTGTGACAGAAAATTACACCTGAAGAAAAAATCTGGGCCTCCCTGGTGGTGCAAGGGGTTAAGTGTCAGGACTATGAAGCTATTCACAGCCACTGCAGCAGGAGTTTGTTCCCCAGCCAGGGAGGTGACCCACATGCCGCAGCAGACCTCTCCTGTCTCACCCGCTGCTTCCCGCAGCAGTGTATTTCAGTAGATTTGCCTGTTCTGTTCCTACTCTGTCTCTGGTGAATCCTCTCACCCCCTGTACCTCTGGCCTACACCACAGTTCTTGTATGCATAAATAAATAAATCTTTAAAAAAAAATCTGATGTTATATTTTACTTCTACTCTTGCTTTGCTGCTAAAAATCCTCAACATCTTAATAAAGTGCTGGGAAGCCTCTATGAAGGCCCCAGGAACTCAGTGGCCAGAGGTGGGTGAGAATCATTGCACCGTCTCCCGGTCTCACCCATCAGCAGCGGTCACAGCTGACCCCGCAGGGCTGTCTCTCCTTGTGAGCCGTAGGATGAAGCACAGGGGTTGTCATCCACTGTGACACAGCCTGGAGAGGCAGAGCCATAACTATTGGCAACCCTGACTACCCAGAAGCATCCCAGCCACAGCCATGCTCTGTTCTGACACACTGGGAGCAGCCCAGGGAGGCCCTTGGCCATGCCTTGCGCCATCGCGTCCCTGCAGGCTGTTCCTGCAACCCGCCTTCCCAACAGTCAGGCCCAGGGCAGGGGTATAAGCTTGGAAAGGGAAACCCTGCCACTTGCCACCACCCTCCCCACCCCAGAGGCAGATGACAAAGAACACCAGAGAACTAGACATGATCCCACCCATGGACACATGCAGCCCCTGGCTCCCCTCCTATCAAAGACCCCCAAACCCCTCCCCTTAATGGTGCTCTATGCCAGATGCCCTCCTAACACCTGTCTCTTGCTCAGGAGCAAGAGTCAACACCCTAGGTTGGCCTGCAGAAAACTGAGGCCCTGATCTGCCCGTGTGTGCCAGGCCCAGGGCTCACTTCAGAGAGATTTCCCTTTCCACAAAGGGGTACGCAGAGGGCTGGGAGCTGCACTGGGTTCGAGCACAGACCTAAGAGAGCCTATAACATGGGATCTGCAGAGTTAGCTGGAAAGAACATCTCACAAATGGCAAACTGGCCACAAGATAACAACCATAAGATACGACAATAACAGTAATTTTTAAAAGGATTTATTGCAAAGAATGCTGGACACAGTGTGATGTGTGGCTGAGATTCAATGCCACCCATTCTGGGGAGAGCAGGTAAATGCCTGCAATGCCAGCTTTTCCATCATCACAGCTCAGACCTGGCAGCCAACCAGGTGGGTTGCTGCAGGGACAACTGCAGGCAGAGCCTGAAGGGGCTGTCCCTGCCAATGCTGTCATCCCAAGATTTCCCTCTCCCCTATCCCAGTGCTTGTAACCTATGGTCCAGCAGCTCCTGACTGCCCTCTGGATGCAGAGAGAGAAGGCCTCAGTGGTCTTGACTCAGAGTTCCTGGGAGAGGTGGTGCCACCTGAAGGGTGAAGGGAGTTGCTATGGCTAAGAAGTGAACATGTCCTCTGACCCTGAGCCTCAGGCTCTGGGGCTCTGACAGGAGGTGAGTCCCAGGGAGGATCCTGCCCCATTCCTGCTCTGGACAGCGCTCCTCAACGGCTGCAAGACTGGCGGCTGAGAGAATGCCAGCCAGGGTCCAGGACATGGACTTTTCCCAAGGGCAGGTGGCATCTACAGGCTGCAAAGCCCTGGGGGGCTGAGAAAAGTGGGATGCTCAACAGGCACAGCCTGGGAAAGGTTCTGAGCACAAAACAGGTTTGGGAACCTGAGGCCAGTTTCACCAAGGAGTATGTGTGGATAGCAGGGTGTCCGACGACAAATCCAGGCCCTTTCTCACACAGCCCCACAATCTGCTGGCCAGTATGCCCAGCTAGAAAAGGGAGCTGGAACCCACTGCCCAGCCTGCCTCTCTGGGCTCAGAAGAACTCATGACAGACAGTGGCCTGACAGTGGCATGACAGACAGTGTACTCCCTGAGGCTGTTTTCAGCAGGCTCCGGTGCATGTGAATCAAAGCTGTGATGTGACTGGGAATAGCCACCCCCCACCCCCACCAGCAACCCCACTCCCAACACATGAGAGCTGCCTCAGGTTCCACCTTTCACCTGCCAGTCCCACAGGTGAGGCCAACAAGCACCAGGCTTTGTAGGACCACAACCAGCTTTTCCACATCTTTCACAGCAAACACACGTCCCTGCCGCCGGTGCACATTCTGTGTGGACACAGGCAGCGACGGGAGAGGTAGCAGGCTGGCACAGCAGGGTCAGGGCCACGGGACAGCAGCCTCTGTTGAGCGCTCGGGAGAGTGGCTCCAGGGAAGGGAACTCATGCAACCGCCCTGCGGTCACTTCCTTCGGCTTCACTGTGAGGGCAGCCAGAATGGACAGCCACGGAGTCATGGTGTGCACAAGGCTGGGAAGGGTGACCGAGAACGCTCATCCCAGTGCGGTCCTCCGCAGCACAGCGGGAAGCCTGCGAGCTGCTTTCCCGAGCGTCCACGAATGCCAGTGGTGTGGACGCCGTGCTGACCCGTGGAGGCACCGCCTTGGTGGAAGCGCTTCGGTTCCGGGCAGGGCAGGATGGAAAGGGCTCTCCCTCTCCCCTGAAGCAGCAGCAGCTCAGGGTCCTGTGAACACATGGCCTCTGGCTCAGGAAGTGGCTGCAGAGGACAGCAGAGGCCCCCGGGTCCACCTTGGGCCGCTCAGCCACACTTTCCATTTCACATTTTAGGGTTTCTCACTTCACAAAGCCAACCAACTGCTGAGACAGAGCGCCCTAAAGTTGAGCTGGGACACCTCCCAGCAGCCCAGGGCCAACACAATGCAGCTGATTATTAACTAGCAGCACGTTGTCGTGTCCTTCATACAGCCCCGTCATGGTCAGGGAAGCGGGCGGGCTCTGGCGGGGGTCCTGGGCACCACCGGCCACGCCGCGGAGCTCTGAGGGTGTTCCTTCGTGGTGGCTGTCCCACGGATTGAGGGTTCTGGGCTGACCCTGTCCATGGAGATCAACGCCTGCCTCGGGGTGGAGTGGAGGAGACACAGTCACTGGTGAGCAGGGACCGTGACAAGGGCTTCCTCCGGAGGCCTCGAGATGTCTACATTCTGCACAAAAATAAACACACAGAACATTCACCCTGTGGCAAGAACTAGCGGAAATGCACTATTGCATTCCTCACTGCTGTGGCCATCTGGACCTATATTTTCACCCCAGGAGCCCCGGCGCAGGACTCCAGTCTCTACCTTCCTTAAGAACATGGAATTAAGAGACTCAACACATGGTGGGTGGATGAACACAGAACAGAGACAGGGGTGGAGGAGGCCCTTGGTTCCCCTCGCTCCTTGCAGGCAGGTCAAGGGTTACCCAGAGTGCGCTGTCCCCACCTTCTGCCTCAGGTCTGGGTCAATTGGGGAGAAACCCCAGGCTGGGGGCTTGCATCCTCATCAATGGGGGCAGAAAAGGCGCTCTCCTGGCTCTAAGTTTCAGTAGACAGGTGTCAGAAGGGGCCCCAGGAGCCTGTGGACATCTAGTGTGTAGCTTGGTCTGTCCCCTCGGTGCTGGGCCACAGGCCCACGGACCTCCTGAAGTCCTCAGCGCCTGCCAAGCTGCAGAGTCCAGTTCCGTCCACAGCCTGCTGAGCCCAGGGTATCTCAGTTCTAAGAAATAAGGACTCTAGGATTTCCTCCAGCTCTATGAGACTGTCCTGTGTGACTCCCAATGCTGGTGGCCCATCTTTTTATGGGTTTTTCATAACCATCACCCACAAAAGCAGGTCACCAATAACCCGGGCTGCTGAAAACATGACATGCCCACACCTGCTGAGAGGGAGACAAGGCCCCCATCGTCAGAGCTGTAGGTTGTCAGGTCTTGAGGGCAACCCATACAATGTCACATGCTTCCCGGCTTCTGGTGTCTCCCCCTCTAGGAAGGCCTGATCTAGGCCATCCCCAGGCCATGGCCTCACCCTGACAGGAGAGCCATCTGGACAGAGAACTCCTGCTTCACTCTGGCAGGTGCCCCAGCTGGGCCTGGCCCTGGAAGATCGTGTGTCTGGACACCCCTGGGAACATGCTTACCACCCCAGCGGTGCCCCTGTTGCTACCTGAGGCCTGTCCCGGTGTGTGTTCACAGCCACCACATTCAGGAATATGGACTCCACTTTACAACCTGCCAAAAGGAAGATGCAAATCCATTCACTCTCCTGAAAAGCAGCTGGAGCCATAGAAGTTAGAGATTTCTTTCAGGGGGAGCCTTGGGGTACTGTGGAATAGAGCAGGCTCTCAGCCCTACCCTAGTGCTACTACCCTGTGAGGAAGGACAAGATGCTCTGTCAGGCTTGTGCGTATCAGGTGCCACTGCCCAGTGCTGCCTCAGTGAGGAGTCCAGACACCAGGCAGGACCACACTGAGAACCAAATTGCCTACTGTTAGGGCAGAGGGCAGCCTGAGGCCTAAGCAGAGCACAGAGTCACCATGCTCAGTCTTCAGGTTCCCCAAACCACCCACACCCAATCCCTGCCATACAATAAGGTCAGGCATTCAGCAGTGTGGGGGCCAAGGGGATGCGCACAAATGGGAATGAGGCTCAAAGTGTAAGCGCCCAAGGGGTGCCTCACAGCCTGGGTTGAAGGCAAGGTGCCAGGCTCTGCCGTCTGACCTAGGCAAAGCAGAGGTAGAACTAAAACAACCCTGCACCCAGAATACTTTAAGGTCCAGGTCAGGTCCCCTAGGGGCCCTGAAGATTTGTGGGGGTTTGGAAAAGCTAGGGGTAAGGTCCTTCTTGTGGGTGGGTAATGGCTAAGGAAGGATAGCTGGGAAGGTATCCCAGCATCCATATGTTTAATCTTCATCACCATGGAAATGGTGGCAAAAAGTGAAAGGGGGGAATTGTTAGGGGGAAATGATGTCCTGAGATAATCCCATACAGGCTTTGTGGACTCCACCCCCACTCCAGACTAAAGCCATCAAGACTCTGGGAAAGACAAATCCCATCACCACCAAGGGAGGGTGGCTGGGACCTGAGGGTGGAGTTGGGCAGCCAGGTTGGGTATAAAAACCAAACACGTGGGCCTTGGGCTCTCTCTCTGGCTCGCGATCGCTCGCCTCCTGGCTTCAGGGCTCCTGGCTGGCGGCCAGCTCTCAGAGCGCCATTTTGGGATTCCTGATCGGCGGATCGGGTAGGACGCATTTAAAACTTTGTCTCCCACTTTTCTCCCAGAGCTGTACATTTCCTCATTTCCCCTTCCCTTGTAAATAAACCTTTTATTAACCTTTCGCGTGTGCCTGCAGTAGAGCATTGATAAGTCCTTTTAAGCGCGCGGGTGAGGACCCACAGTCAGGCACCCCGTTTTGTATCGGGGTTGCTCTACAACAGTTTGGCCACAGAAATTAAAATGTAAAATAATTAAAGGGCAAACTGGGAAAGGTAGCGGGTGGAGGGAGGAGTAAGCTCCTAATGGAATTGCTGTTGCGCAGGAAAGCATGGAAGCCTACAGAGGCAGAGTCTGCCAGCCTAGGTCTGCATGCAGGAAGCCTCCTTACCGTAGGCCACAGGGGTTAGCTTCATGACTGTGTGCAGCGGACACTTGAGGTAAGGCAGCTGTTCTGTGGACACAGAGCGGGAGGGCTGACATCCAGGGATGCCTGGGTGACAGTCTTTCTCTGTCTCTCTCTCTCTCTCTCTCTCTCTCACACACACACACACACACACACACACACACACACACACACACACACACTCCTGGGGTGGAGGACCCCTACCTGCTGCCTTGTCAAGGAAGTAGGCCAGGAGGCAGCGCATCACAGCCTGGTGGCAGATGACCAGTACGTTCTCTTGTCTCTCCAGCTCCATGATGACAGGTTCGAGTCGCTGGACCAGGTCTTCATAGGACTGCAAGGGTAAGTGGGGAGGGTTCCTCAGGGTAGAGACACACATGTAATGGGCTACCTGCTCACTTCTAGACTCCTCACCATTTTGGGGGAGATAGCTAGGCCTCCTCCAGCCTGGCTTCTGAGGGCAAGGGGGTAGCTCAGTGCTGTGGTCATCATACCTCCCATGCCAGGCAGTGCGGAGGGCAGCCCATAGGACTGCGACAGGATTTCTTTCCTTCAGAAGGAAGCTGGGAGGGGTGAGGATTGGTGGCCTGGAAGAAGTCACCTCCCCCAGCCCAGGGTCAGGTCCTGGTGGGACTGATTGGGCAGGGCTGGGCCTTAGGCTCTCATCCCAAGGGGCTACTTCTGTGCTCACCCATGGGGCTCTTTGCTGAACCCTCAGTTGCTGGAATTCACATGCTGATGAATGGAGGAAAAGACACTGCTCCCTTCCAGCCCACAGAGCGAGCCACAGCGGGAGAGGAAGAAGGGGCCCTGGAAACTTTGTCACGTGTGATCTGTCAGCCACACCAGCAGTCCCAGGAAAGAGGCTTACAGTCTGCCTGCCCTGTCCCTCTGACAAATTTCTAGATTTCCACCAGGAAGCCAAGCTGGGGGGTGGGGGCTGGGGTGGGGGCGGTGGAATTGTTTCATCTCTCTTTTTACATATCCAGTGCTTCGGGAGCAGATTGGCCTCAGGCTGTGACTGGGAGCCAAACCAATATGGATTTGGGCTGGCCCCTGGTAGTTCTGGGGAAATCCTGGATTCATTCTTTAGGTAAGTGTAATTTCCCACCAGTTCTTTCCTGTATTCCCAAGTTGGAACAGTCAACTTTCTTTTTACTTTATCTGGGTTGGCTCCAGAACTGAGCTCCACTTCCGGCATGATGTAGGGAATAATCACTGCATCTGTTCCTGAGGACAGTGCTGCCTAGGGGCCTGGCATCGAGTTGGGAGGCATCTGTGTGTACATATGTATGTGTAAGTCTGTGGCCAAGGCCCCTGGCCACCTCCTGGAAGTAGGCGATATAGCAGTCAAAGGTGACCCTGTTTCTGACCTGGACCCTGGGCTAAGAAGGGAACCAATCTGAAGGAAGGTGACAAGTGCAGGTGGCTTGTGGTAACCATGACTCTCTGGGGAAGGTCTCCCTGGGTCTGGATTCAGGGCTGGCGATTCAGTACCTGGAGATGCAGGGAGGATGGGATCACCTGTGACATGCCCGGGAAGGGAGATGGCAAACATGGGGGGCCACCCGACCTCGGGGTTGGGAGCCCCGTGCAGCACTGTTCATCTGCTACCCAAGGAGGACTGTGGCCAGGGCCACGTCGCTGGGAAGTGGTGGAGATGACACACATACACAGACTGGCGTGGGAGGCCAGGCCCATCCTGCTGCCCCGGCCGACTCCAAGGAGCCCCATAGGGCTCAGTCATAGGTGGTCCTCCCAAGCAAGCAGCAGGTGGTTGGGACTAAGCCCCCAAGGCCCACTTACCTCTCCTTTGGGGTACCGGTACCGGTACTTGTCCTGGTCCCTCAGGGCAAACTCCAATGGATAATGGTCCTGAATTTCTTCATATGTCATTTCCTCACAGACACCCTAGGGAGACACTACGGTCATCACACCTTGCCTGCCAGGCCAGGGGGTCAGCCCTGTGTCAGGGCAGGATAGTCTGAGAGGAGCATTTCCTGGGTCCTGGGAGCCCTTCCTAGCCTGGAACTTACAACCTGTCAGGAAAGAACAGGCCCTCTGGGAACACTGAGCAGGGGGACATCCACTCATTTGTAAACAGTTATCAGGACAATATTTTCCATCCATCCATCATTTATCCAGCCAATTTATGCAATTAAAAAAACCACAGAAATATTAAGTATTCTTTCCTAATGTGTCTTTTGTTTTCCATGCTGTGGAAATGCTACTTCTGAGTAGGAATTATTATGCAAACCATGAAGTGAGATTGTGTCACACAGAAACTACCACACGCACATACGCACACACACACACACACCCCCACGCATAGATTACTTTATACAAATGCCATAAGAAAATTCTAAATAATAAAAACAAAAGACCAGCAGAGAGGAACACTTGTTCAGAAAACAAACCAGTGCTGTTCAAGGGCCTGGAAAGGTCCAGGGCACATGGTCCAGTCTTCACTCATCAGCCATGACTGCCCCTGACTGAGCCCACATTATGAGCAACATTATAGGCCACTTCCCTGGGACCCTTTGATGAGCCACCACCTCTCCCCAATCCACTACTCTGCCGAGGAGTCCAGAAAGATGTGTGAAAGGATCAGTGGCTGTCTTTCCATGGCTCGAGCCAAGAGCCAGCAGACAGGACATACCCAGAGAGGAAGAGGCAATAAAAGCCCTTAATAAAAGGCTGCTGGTCTCTGCCTTTGTTCTAAGTTTTTCTTCTAGACAAAGTTTTGGGGACAAAGTTGTCTACTAAAAAGGAAAGGTAAAGAGGAAAACTTATAGCTGTAATTACTTACATTAAAAAGAAGATCTTAAATCAATAATCTAATTTCTACTTTGAGATACGGGAAAAAGAGGAACAAAGAAAACCCACAGCAAGCAGAAATAAGGAAAACATAAAGATTATGGTGGAAATTAATGAAATAGAAAACAGAAAATAGAGAAAAGCAACAAAATGAAAAGTTGGCTCTTTGAAAAAGTACCCTAAGAATTTGGTTTAACTATGGAGAGCTGTGTGGAGATTTCTTGAACTACTAAAGACAGAGCTTCCATATGATCCAGCAATTCCACTCCTAGGTATTTACCCAAATGACACAGAAACAGTAATTCCAAAGAACACCTGCACCCCTATTTTTATAGCAGCTCTATTTACAATAGCTAAGCTATGGAAACAACCCAAATGCCCAAAAATAGATGACTGGATCAAGAAGATGTGGTACATATACACCATGGAATATTACTCAGCATTCAAAAAAGATAAACCCATCTAGTTTGCAGCAACACGGATGGAGCTGGAAGGGATCATGCTCAGTAAAATAAGTCAGAAAGAAAAAGAAAAATACTGGATGGTCTCACTCACAGCAGGAATTAAAAAAACCTAAATAAGGGACCAGGAAAAAGACTAATTAATACAAAGTAAAAATTAAAATCAACAAGCAACTATAAACCAGAGACACACTACAGGAGTGGGGGGGCGGGAGAGGAAGGATTAGGGTCAAAATAAGGGGGGTGCAATTGTATGGAATATAACCAAAATGAAAATGCATACATTGTGCAAAAGTGAAAAATGATGTAAGAATTATATAAAATAAAATATTAAAAAATAAATAAATAAAAGAATTTGGTGGTTTACATTACTGAAACCATAGACCTTTAGCTAGACTGACAAGACAAAAAAAAAACCTCTAAATTATTAAAATCAGGAATTAAAGAGGGACATTTAATACAATTTACAGAAATAAGAAAGATTAAAAGGGACTACTATGAATAACTGTATGTGAACATATTAGATACCTTCAGTGAAATAGGAACATTCCTGCAAATACACACACCTGTTGTAAGTCAAATGTGTCTCCCCAGCTAAGTCCTAACCCATGTACTTGTGACTGTGACCTTATTTGGAAAGAAGATACAGTCAAGTAGATGAGGTCACTAGAGTAGGTCTCAGTCCAGTAACTGTCTTTGTAAGAAGGCCATGTGAAGACACAGAGATATGCACAAGAAAGAAGGCCAACGTACAGCAGAGACAGGGATGGAGTCGATGCAGCAGAAAGCCGAGAGGTGCCAAGGAGAGCTGACAACACCAGAAACCTGTAAAAACATGGATACTAAAGCAGTTCTGGTGAAGGCTCAAGGGAAGTAAAGGGCAGGGTAGAGAGAGAATACATGTCATGAGTGGAATGTCCTAGAAGTATGTGTGTTAAAGGTGTTTCTGGTGAGGCCTTAGAAGAAAATGAGGTGTGCGTTCCTGGACACTAGGTAGAGGAAAGGTGATCTTTGTTACAAAGTGGCGGAGAAGTTGGATGAATTTTGTACTGGTGTTGGGTGGCTACAATCAAAAAGACAATAGCAGAAAGATGGTATCAAGTGCTGCTCAGGATGTAGAGAAACCAGAACTCTGACACATTGCTGGTGGGAATGTAAAATGGTGCAGCCGCTTTGGTAACCAGTTGAGCAGATTCTCACAAGGTGAAACACAGAGTGTCAAGTGACCCAGGTTCATGTTCTTAGGTACATACCCAAGGAAAATGAAAACCCGTCTACACAAAACCTATACACAAATGTTCACAGCAGCATTACTCCCAAGGCCAAAAAAACAGAAGGTATCCAAATGCACATCAACTGACAAGTGGGATTAATGATATGTGGCACGTCCATACAATAAAATACTATTTGGCAATAGAAAAAGGGCGTGAGATTAGCTACCACAGAATGAACCTTGAAAACATGCTAAGTGAAAGAAGCCAGTCACAAAAGACATATCATTTGATTCCATTTACATGAAATGTCCAGAAAAGGCAGATCTATAGACACAAAATAGATTAGCAGCGGCCTAGGGCTGGGGGAGGGCTGGAAGGAAATGCAGAGTGACTGCTGATGGCTACAGGGCTGCCTTGCGGGATAAAGAGAGGCTCTAAAATCTAAAAGGCTCTAAAATTGACTGTGGTGCTGGTTGCACAGCTCCGAATGTACTAAAGACCAAGGCAAAGACACTTTAAATAGCTAAGCTGTATGGTATGTGAATTATATCTCAATAAGGCTGTTACTTTTTATCTTTTATTTTTTAATTTTTAATAACTCATCATTATTTTACATCCCTGTTTGTTTTTTCGCAATATAGGATTTCTCTCCTCAGGTCACCATAGTTTTCCCACCACCAAAGCACCCACAGTCCTCCTTAGTTTTCCCACCACCAAAGCACCCACAGTCCTCCTCCTATTTTATATTTTCAGAAAGATCTTGTCTGTGTTCTCAGGGTCTAGAAGAGTCTATCACATAGGAAATGCCCAATAATCATTTGCTGAGTGCTTCTTAGAAATGTATCGATTGTTGTTTTCTGATCATTAGATTTCCTTACCTGATTTTTCTAGCTTTTGTATTTATTTAGGATTCCTATAATATAAGCCTATATTATTTTCTTAAAATTTTACTCAGTTCATAAATTATCTCTTTCCCACTACATGGTCCTTGTATGTTCCATCTATTCCACCAGGACTGTTGTTATTAATGAAAGCTGTTGTTAATAAAAGATGTTATTTTTAAAAAAGAAAAAAAAAGCAGTAAATTATGGATTAGACTAAGAAAAAAAAATCACAATCTTGAAATAGAAGACTAGCTCAAGTTTGTTTACCAGAATAGAAGAATAAGGATAAACATGGAAAGATGATTAATAGATTACAGATATTAGAATAGTTTCCAAACTTGAAAGATAAGGAAGGGAATTCACAGACATCTAGAAAAATAACCAGATTAACTTCAAAGAGAGAAAACTGGGGCAGTTATAGACTTCTCTACAAAACCAAATGTGAGCACATCCAAGTCCCTGGAGGGTGGACTCAGGGCCCCTAACCATCTCAGGGAACTACCTCAGGAGTGAGAAGGGACCAGAGGCTGGAGACTTGCCCTGCCTCCTGATGGAAGCCTGAGTTAAATGAGCTACAAAATGGTAGGATGAGTTAAATGAGCTACAAAATGGTGTTTCCTCTTTCGAAAAAGATCAGTTCTGAAGAAGAGAAACAAGAAGATAGAAAATAAAACCAAGAAATAGTACTCAGTCCAATTCCATTAATGAAAACACACACACACACAGAAAGCAGAAAGCAGACAAATGGAAATAACACATACTTCCTTGTCTTTCCCAATAGATTCAAGGATTATTTTCCTGTTATTAACTTTGATAAGGATATTTGAATTGTTCCTTTATTTATGTGCATCCTGCTTAAGAATGTTTTTGAAACACCTTAATGACTAATGAAATAAAAATTACTGCTTACTTTCCAAATTGTGAAAAAGATAGTATTTATACAGAACAATTAGAATGAAAATTACAAGGTGCTAAAACAAGATCAAACACACAATTATAATAATAAATGTAAATGGACTGTTTAGATCCTTGACCTAAAAGTTCTCAGATTAGGTTGAAAAATAAGTCAAAGATGTGCTCCTTTCATCTAAAGAAAATGGCACTAAAAAGTAAAAATAAAAGGGAATAAGTATAACAACAACAAAAAACAGATGAAAAAGCAGGGAAGGCAAATTAAAACCACAATTAGATACCATCTCTTACCCCTTAGGATGGATACTATCCCACCCCTCACCAAAGAAAAAATCAGAATAACAATTGTTGGTGAGGATGTAGCAAAAAGTCTAAGAGACATTTGTACACCCATGTTCACTGGCAGCATTATTCACAAGAGCTAAAAGGTCCATGACAGATGAATGGATAAGCACATGTAGTATATACGCTGTTAAGAGGATGAGCCTTGAGGGCATTACGCTAAAGGAAGTAGGTGGGTCACAAAAGACACTAAGCCTATGATTCCATTTTCTTGAGGACCTAGAGTAGTCAGATTCATAGAGACAGAAAGTAAAATAGTGATTGCAGGGGGGCAGTGAGGCGAATGGGGAATTATTGCTTAATGGGTCGAATTTCCATTTTATTATTTTTTTTTTTTTTTTTAATAGAGGCATGTTTTATTTATTTATTTTATTTGTTTGTTTGTTTTGTTTATACATGCACTGGGTACAGTCAGAAGCGCGGGAGGGTGAGAGAATTCACCAGAGCCAGAGCGGGGAGCAGAGCAGGCAGAAGGACCGAAGTACACTGCTGAGGGGAGCAGCGGGCGGCAGGAGAGGTCTGCGCGCCATGTGGGACCCTCCTCCCGTGGCCGGGGAGCAGCCGGGGGATCGAACCGGCGCCGCAGATGCCGCGGGCAGCTTCGCAACCCAGCGCTCAACCGCTGCGCCACCGGGGAGGCCCGAATTTCCATTTTATAAATTGAAAAGGGTTCAAAAGATGGATGGTGGTGATGGCTGCAAAACATTATTATTAATGTGTTTCGTATCACTGAGCTATGCACTTAAAAATGGTGGTTAAAAATAAAAAAACAATGAAATCTAGCTATTGGCAACAACTGGATGGACCTTGAGAACATTATGCTAGGTAAAGTAAGTCAGAGTAGGACACACGCCAAAGGTCTGGTCAACATCTGAACTGGAGTCTGATAAGACCTGAGCAGAGAAGCCAGGGACGCCTTGCCAAATCCCTGGCCCACAGAAACGGTGAGATAATAAAAGGCTGTTGTTGAAGCCACCAAGTTTGCGGTAATTTATACAGAGTGTAAAATGAATCCAGTGAGCATACAGGTGTTCCGATAAAAGTGTTTCTACACTGCTATAAATGGTTAAAACATATGGAGAAGGAAATCATAATTTTTATGGAAGTAGAATGTACATACAATGAAGCATACCACTTTTAAGTATAATTCAATGAGTTTTAACATATGTATAATGTTGTATAACCCCTATACAAACTTGTATAACTCCCTACCACAATCATGATTGTGATTTGTGATTGTGACTAATTTGGAAATGGTCAACTCTCTTTTACCCAATATTCTGCAAATATTTCATGCATCCTCTCCACCTAACTTTTTCTAGGACTCCAAGAGCTACATGTATTAAATTGTTTTTTATCATCTCACAAATCACTGATGCTCTGTTCCCTTAAAACTTTCCACAATAAAACGTCAGGGACAAAAAAGATGACTCAGTAATATGTTTTAAGAATAGGTCATAGATAATTCTAATGTCTCCAAAGAATTATTTCTAAGAATACAAAGCTTTAGGTCAAAGAGGTTTGCTGAAGGAAGAATAAGTATCCAGGGCTCAGAAAAAGCTGGGAACTTACGAAATTCATTTTATAATATCACCCCACTCAATTAAGGCCAAAACAAGGAAATCCAGTTTGTTTATCACTTATTGCCAAGAGGCAATGCAATAAAACAAAACAGAAATATAAGGTGTATAGATTGGGAAGGCAAAAACGGAATTATCCTTGTTTCATACGGTTTCAATATACTGGCTCTTTAAGAAAACTTAAGAAAAGCATCTGAAAAGTGACTAGAGCCAATAAAAGAATTTGGTCACATATTTTCTGAGAACCAGCAATAACCAGACAGAGTGGGGATGAGATCTTAGTTACAAGAAGCGACAAGGAGTCTCCTTCCTTGAGGCCATGTGGCCCAAGCTGCCACAGGAGACTCTACAGCTGTGTCCCATGTTAACAGCCCTGCTGTCACGCTCTGGGGACTGGCTGTCCCCATGAATGGTGTCCTTGGGGCCCCTCCCATCTCCCAATGCTAGGGACTCACCTTAAGGACTCCCCCTCTTTTCCAGCCTAGATGAACTCCATGGCATGTGACTTCACCACCTTCCTCCTAACGCCTCATCATCTCTGCCCCGCTGTATTTCCATCACATACAAAAGTGAACAAGCTGACAAGCTGAGTATGTGGCTTGCCTTTTCTATATTCATCTGTTGGGGGCTGGAGGTTTGCCTTCAGGACACCGAAAAAAGTGCCCCAGAAAACTCCTGGACTCCAGGCCAGCTAACTCCCATTTAAAATTTCTCCTTCCTCTCACTCTGAGGGGACCCTCCATAAGATTCTGCAGGAAGACACTGGACATAGTTCTCTGTGGCCATCTGCACCTCTCTCTCCTCCTGCTACCTTGGAATCTGGCTCTCTGCCCCCTCTCAGGGCCTCCTATACCTTCCTCCCCATACTCTCATTCTCTTCCTTTCTACCAGCCCCTCTTCGTCATTTGAATCACAGCCAAGTTTCCTTCAACTCTGCCCTCTATTCCTATTGGGCACCAGCCCCACCACGTTCATGCCAGGAACCCCAGTGCTCTCCTTACCATGTCCCAGTGGTCAGTTTGGAGTCTGGCCTCATTCCCCACCTGTGGTATCTTACCCCACTGACTACTGCCTCCTCCCTACTTTGACTTCCATGAACCCCGTATTTATTGAGCACCTACCATGTGGTGAACAAAGGAGACATAATTCCTGCCCTCCGGGAGTCCATCGCCTTCCTTACCCCAGAACCCATCCCAGGGACTGAAACCTGGAGTCACCTGGATGTCTTTCTCCTTCTTAGCCCCATCGTCAGGCATCAGGTTCTAGCACTTCACCAGGATCTCGGCCCCCAGGACCTGGCCCAGGTCCTAACACAGGGTGGGCTCACATAAATATGTGTCGAATACATGAATAAAAAGCCCAGGTCCATCCACTCCTCTTTCACTGCCACCACCCGGGTCCAGGTGTTATCACCATCCCAGGCCACCATGAGCACCTCTAAATGGTCTCCCCTCTTCAACTTGTACTCCTCCTCATCCTAACAAAACCATTCTCCACCCCAGTTGGGGTGACTTCTCTAAGATTCAAATCTGATCTCAGTAGAGATTTCCACATCAGCCAATGGTGGACTACATTTTTTCCCTCCAACGAGAGCAACCAGAAAAGCCAGAAAGAAAATTTTTAGGGGCCTCCCTGGTGGTGCAGGGGGTTAAGGCGCAACCTATGAAGCTATCCGAAGCCTCTGCAGTGCGAGTTCGATCCCCAGCCAGCTGGGGAGCAACCCACATGGCAAGGCAGACCTCTCCTGACTCACCCACTGCTCCCCTCAGCAGTGTATTTCAGTCAATCTGCCTGTTCTGTTCCCCACTCTGTCTCTTGTGAATCCTCTCACCCCCCCACACCTCTAGCCTGTACCCCAGCTCTTGTGTGCATAAAATCTTTTAAAAAAGGGAAATTTTTAGAAATATTTTGATTAAATCAGAGATCTATCAAAACAAAGAAGACTTGAGGGATCAAGATCTTGGAGTGAAGGGAAATCTAAAGCCATGAACCTGATATATAGCACCATTTCCCCCTTTGAAGTTTTGCTAATTTGAAAGAAGTGGGGGTGGAGGGGGCTGGCAGGTGGTGGTGATGATGAAGTAGGTGAGGGAGTCAAAAACTTCACTTACAAGATAGGTAAGCCCTGGAGATGTAATTCCAGAATGGTGACTACAGGTAATAACTTTGTAGCATATATTCAAAAATTGCTGAGAATAAATCTTAAAAGTTTTCATCACAAGAAAACAATGTAACTATGCGAGCTGTAGCTGTTGGGTGTTAACTCAATTGTATTGTGGTGCTATTTTGTCATATAAACCTAAATCATTATGTCATACACCTAACACTAATAGAATGCTGTATGTCAGTTATAGCTTAACAAACCTGGTGGTAGGGGGAGGAGGAAGTCAGGAAGCAGGAAGCGAGGACTGAGTGGGCAGATGCTTGGCAGAGCTGCTAGCAGTGCTGGGTAGAGGAGACAAAAAACAGACACTTGGGGGCCACAGGGTTTTCCATCGGAAACTTAAAGACTGTGCCCTAAGAGGAGGAGGACCAGAAAATGAAGCAGCCTCCACAAAGATCAAAATGCTACTCTGAAGTAGCTCTAGTCTGATGACACTGAGGTAATCCATTCCACTGTCTGCCAGAAGCAAAAACAAGCCCTCGGACATGCTCAGCGAAATAAGCCAGAAAGAAAAAGAAAAATACCGGATGGTCTCACTCATAGCAGGAATCTAGAAAACTTAAATAAGGGACCAGGAAAAAGAATAACTATAAGAAAGTGAAAATCAAAATCAACAAACAACTATGAACCAGAGACACTCTATGGGGGGTGGGGCGTGGGGAGGGGAGGGATTGGGGTCAAAATAAGGGGGTCGCAATTGTATGGGGAATATAAAAATTTAAAAAAAAAGAAAAAAAACAAGCCCTCAGAGAAAGGCAGCATTAACCAGGATCGTGAATTATCTCCACAGTTGTTCATACAAATTAAAAATTACCATGCATGTATATTTATCCAGAATACATAAAGAAGACCTAAAAATCAGTATGAAAATGGCAGACAACCAATATGGGGGGAGGAGGGGAAGAGCAAAAGAACTCACAGAAGATAACCAGTAAAAGTAATAAAGAACTGCTGTAACGAAAAACAGTAAACTGGTACATGAACAGGCAGAAATTATTTGTAAGAACGTAATATAAAGGTAGGCAACACAAATCAACAGGAAAAGGAGGGATAGATGGTAAATGAGTTAAATAGGGAAAAACCAGATTTAAGGTCTATGACAGAACAGCAAAATAAATTATGTTTGGTCAGGGAAGAAGGGGAGGTAGGGCGAAATCAAAACCCTAAAACATGAAGAAAGGTTAAGGAGAAAGATCTCTCTGACCCCCAACACGCATGTACAATGAGTACAGCTGTGCCCAGGAAACCTGGGGCAGAAATGAAGGAAGAGAATCATGATTACCGCGTCGATCTCATTGAGAACCTTCCACTGCTCATAAGGCACACCCAGGGCCTCGGCTGTCTGGATCGTCCTCTTCATCTGACTTGTCCAGACCTTCAGGTCCTTGATGTTCTGATCACTGATAAACTGGGCCAGACTCTTGGCAAACTGAAATACACAGCAAGAAAATTCACATCCGCGGGTGCTGGGTTGTCCTCAGAGGCCCCACAGTTACCTGTGAGGACATGCTCAGCCTCAGAGAACACATGTCTGATAAGAAACAAACCAACCTCTCAAGGACACCCACACCCACAAGTGCTATTCTTGTGTATCCTTACCAGACCCTGGGTGCTGTCCAACAGTGACTCATCCAGCCCCCTGCTACCATCCGCTACCTCCACATGGGTCCTAGACTGTATGACCTCTCCACTGAGGCCTCAAGAGCTCTCCCAACTGTGGCTAGACATCAGCTGCACTGTAGGGACTCATGTCACTCCCAGGATGGCTACTGACAGCTCACATGAAGATCACAGATGCCAGGTATCTGATTGGTACTCAGTGACCTTCCCAATGTGATGGGAACATCTGAGACTAAATGAAGGTCATCTACCTCAACTGCACGTTAGCTATGAGAGCTGGAGCCCAGTCTCAGGGTACTCACACATACACATACCCAGTCACCCAGAGACATCAATGCATAGACACACACACACACTGACCTCCCTACCCCGGGGGGATAGTCCTGGGTCCCCACCAATCCGACCCTTGAGGTTGAGCTCGCTCTCCCCGTGACGGCAGAGGTAGATGGAGCGGGGGGTCACATGGATGTTCATGAGGTAATACACGATGCGGCTCTGGATGTGATCAGCCACACGGTTTACCACGTAGCTCTGCCCCACGTCCATGATCTTGATGTAGGACAGATCCCTTTCCAAAGAGAAGATAGGGAGAGGACTGTGAGTATGAGCAGGGCCCTCAAGGGCACATCTTGCCAGCTGCAGGAGATGGCCGCAAGGCTTCGCATCTCTGACCACCAGGCTTGACATCGCAACACACAGGACTGTTAGCTGGTGTTCAAGATGGGGGTTGGAGGTGGGGGCAACACAGAGCACCCAAACCCTGGAAGAGGTGCTCAACCAGAAGGTGCTCAACCAGAAAAGCCCAGGGTTCAGTTTAGAGAACACACTTATTTACTTATGTATTGGGGAGCAGGTGGGCAGCAGGCAGAAAAGGCAGGGTTTCTCCGGTCTCAATCATAGGTCCAGCCCGCAGCCCTCTGGATGTGCCCACTGGGGTTCTCACTGTTTGCACCATGGGACCGTGGCTTAGGTTTTGGGTTGTTAGATTGACACCACCAGTAAAATTAGGAACATTTACTGCCAAATCCAAGGTGAGCTGTTTCAAAATACTCCCTCTGATGTGGTCATATCAGAGAACAATGAGGAGAAACGCAGTCCTGGGGAAACCCGGAAACACGAAACTACACAGAAGCCCCCAGGCAAGGAAGCTCAGCCAGGTCAGGCACCGTTCTGCAGACACCCCCAGAAGCCATCCTTCTAACAGCTGCTTGTTTCAACCTGGGCTCATATGCACTATGTATTTTTATGCAATAATAAACGACCCAAGTACAAGTACAGCCTTCTCACTTATTGCTGTACAATGTACTTCCCCACTTCTGCTTTTGTAAGTGGTTTCATTTTTAGCACAGTTGTGCCCATTTATTTACATATTGTCTGTTTCTTGCGCACTGTAGTGGCAAGCCAAATACATACCCGTCCCAAACCAAAAATATTTACTATCTGACCCTTTACAGAAAAAGCTTGCTGACAGCTGCCGTAAGACCCTCAACTAAATGTCCCTTGTGGACACGGAGACCCCTCTCACCCCATGCCCCCTCTGCTGCATCTTCTGATCCCCAGGGAAGCAGGGGGAGCTGACAGGCACTGGCCACTGTTGAGGTTCCTGGCAGGGTCTGGGCCCCTTTACCTCCCTTCTCAAATCAGACTGAGTATTACAGAAGAGCATGGAAAACTTGCAGTTTGTGACAACACGCATGGACTTCGAGGGTGTTCTGGTAAGTGAAGCCAGTCAGACAGAGAAAGACAAATACCATATAATCTCACATATAGGGGAAATGTAAAAAGCAAAATAAATAAACAAAACAAAACTCATAGATACAGAGGACAGACTGGTAGTTACTGAAGGGTAGGGGGTTGGCAGGTGGGCAAAATGGGTGAAGGGGGTTGAGAGGTTAAAAAAAAAATAAACAGGTCACAGGGATGTGGTGTACAGGATGGGATTCACAGGCAATAATATTTTATTGCAAATTAGAAAAATTTCTAAGAATTGATGGAAAACATATTACCTCAATAAAAGATAATATAATTTTAAAAACAGGGCCTCCCTGGTTGAGCGCTGGGTTGCGAAGCTGCCCGCAGCCTCTGCAGCACTGGTTCAATCTCCGGCTGCTCCCCGGCCACCGGAGGAGGGTCCCACATGGCGCGCAGACCTCTCCTGCCGCCCGCTGCTCCCCTCAGCAGTGTACTTCGGTCCTTCTGCCTGCTCTGCTCCCCGCTCTGGCTCTGGTGAATTCTCTCGCCCTCCCGCGCTTCTGACTGTACCCAGTGCTTATATAAATGAATGAATGAATGAATGAATGAATGAATGAAAATAAATCTTTAAAAAAACAGATGGGAAATGAGCTTATTGTAATGATCATTTCACACTGTATACAAATCATCATGGGGGCTCCCCGGTGGCACAGCGGTTGAGCGCTGGGTTGCGAAGCTGCCCGCAGCCTCTACGATGCCGGTTCAATCCCCGGCTGCTCCCCGGCCACCGGAGGAGGGTCCCACATGGCGCGCAGACCTCTCCTGCCGCCCGCTGCTCCCCTCAGCAGTGTACTTCGGTCCTTCTGCCTGCTCTGCTCCCCGCTCTGGCTCTGGTGAATTCTCTCACCCTCCCGCGCTTCTGACTGTACCCAGTGCATGTATGAACAAAACAAACAAATAAATAAATAAATAAATAAATAAAAACATGCCTCTATTTAAAAAAAAAAAAATCAGACTTGTACAAATCATCATGGTGTGCACCTGGAGCTAACATGATGTTGCATGTCAGTTTTACTTGAATAAAAAATAAAGAACATGTAAGGTGGGAAAATTCTCTGCCTAAAGCTTGGTCTGATTTTATGGTGAAACAGTAGAAAATTCTGACTCACAGAGCGCTAGATAAGGCAACGGGGACTGTATAGGTCACTCTGGCCCATGACTTCTACTCCATTGAAAGAAACAAAAAAGGCCAGACGATCTCTGCCTGTTGGAGTGGCCTCTCAACTACCACCATGGGGAGGCAGTCAAATGGGACCCCAGCACTCACCGCAGAGCCCGTGCTCTCCTCACTCACCTGTCCAGGTCCTCATCCAGCGACTCATAGGAGTTCTCATAGCACTCGATGCGCCTCATGAAATCCTCCGTGGCCTCATCGCTATCCCGGTTGACATAGTCGGGGCTGCCCAGTTTCACTTGCTGTCAGAGCAAGGACACATCAGGGCTGTAGGCCAGGCAGGGCGGATGACCAAGGAGAATGCTGGAGCCGGGGGTTTGGGGGACAGGAGACCAAGCCAAGTCTGGGGGCAAGAGACTAGAGGCCAACCCCAGGGGACCTGGTCCCATAGTCCAGCAGCTTCCTGGCTAAAGAGAGAAGAGCTGGACACCCTAAGATTAGAGTCCGTCATCCTTATGGCACAGGGGGAGGTAAGGCCAGAGGGGCAAAAGCCACTTCCCTCCTGAGGGGGGATGGATCTCTCTTTCAAAATATAATGCCCAAAACCCCCACCACTGGGCATTGAAATTCCTCTCCCATTGACCTAGGGACTGTGAGGGGGAAGGTAAGAGGAGAGATAAGAAGGAATGTCTGCAGTCACACAATCCTCCACTCAAGTGGTCCTCAAGGATCCCCAGCATTCCACTCCCTCCTCCCTCCCCTAAGGTTCAAGACAACTGACTTAGGGTAAGCCCAGGCAGCAGCCCAAACCTGGAGATGGACCTCACTGCCACATGCCACCTCAGTTGTATCACCACCCCCACAATGTCAGGGGGAGCACTCACCACGATGTTGGCAGCTATGACCTCAGGATCCACACAGATGGACTCAACAAAAAAGGTCTGCAGCAAGCCCAGGGCAGGCAGGAGGGAAGGAACCATAGACATATTTAGGGTCCTGGGCCTGACTCCCCAAAGCACTTTTTCTGGGGCAAGTTCAAGGAGCACAAAACTCAAGCAAGTGCTGTTCTCTGTCCAGAAGTCTCCCACCAAGCACCCCACCTCCTCAGGAAGAAAACCTCAGAGCAATCCCCCTCATCCCAAAGCCAATCAGGCCTGCCCAATGCCTTGCACCCATCAAGAGGCTGAGAAAGGGGCCCCTGGAGCACCCAAATATGTCACAGCTCAACCAAGGAGGGGAGTCAAGGAGGCCTCACCTTGTAGCCGTTCTGTTCCCCAAAATTAAAGATGGTTGCTCTCCGTTCTCGGGTAGTATTTGTTGCATCAAAAACCTAGGACCAAACTGGGGTTAACTTGACCTCTGGCCCAAAAGAAGGTAGGTCACCCAGCAGCTACAGTGCAGGGACCAGGCTTCTCCCCAGGACCCATACTGCCAAGGCCACCTGCCTGGCTCTTCTCCTTGAGACCTGCAAGCTCTGGGCTGGGCCCCCTTCCTTGGGAAGGATGTGTCAAGTAAGTGGAAGGAGTGGATGCTCCCGGTAGGGCGCACACCCTTGGCTGGAGGCACGTACTCAGCACAGGTCTGCACACAGCAGGTGCTCAGTTTATGTCTGACTCAAAGAACTTCCAGTGAAACCAGTTCAACCTGGAGAATTAAACTCACATTTATTTCCATTCTGTCCTGAGACCCCAGTAAAATGGGGATAGAAAGATAAAGAGAACAGCAGAGAAGAAAAGAGATGGAAGATAGCAACAAAATATTGTCAGACCGACACATGGGAAAGGGGAAATGGAGAAAACCAAACATAAGCCTTTGCCAACCAGAACAGGGTCGGGACCCAGGCACAGGCATCTCTGAAGCAGGGAACAAGGGTGCAGGGGAAAGAGGAGGAGTGGCCGACAGCGCAACAAAGGCCCCTCACTCAACTCTGTCCCACCCTCGTCTGACCAGAGGGGCCAGGCACAGGTGCAAGTAAGTCCCTTGCCCAAGGTTCACGCGATTCCTGGACCCAGCACCACACACTGGGTAGGATTCTCCCAGTGCCAGGAGAGATCATATTTGCAAAGGAATTAGAGACAAATGATATCTCCACTTGAAGGGGGGCCAAAAACGTATTCACAGGGAAGTCTTCAGGGTCAGTGCAACCACAAACCCAGAAGGAAGTGCCTGGCCCACAAGCCGGCGCCAGCTCCCCCTGCAGAGCTGCTGCAGACTTCCTCCCAGGGGGCTGGCACCCAGGGGCCCCCGTGACAATACACACCCGCCCCCACCTCCCACAGCAAAGGGGTAGGTGCATGTGGGCTACAAGAATCACTCCTAGATGTTACCAAGGTCACACTCACCGCCACATGCCCCCCCTCCTCGCTGAGGAAGCGCCGGACATCGTGCAGGGCTGCCAGGGCACACTGCCTGGGGGAGAGAGGACACAGTCAGCCTAGCAAGACCGAGGCAGGAGGCAGCACAGGGACCCTCTCTCAGACAGGATGGGGGCAGCCCCCGGGGCTTCCTTCTCTCTTTTCAAGGTTTCTCTTCTCTTTTTGGGGGGTGATTTTCAGTGTTTTTTGCTAACTCTGCTTCTGCCGGTGGGAGGCTGTACATTCTAGATCATTATTTTTGGAAAGACCACTTTTTTGGACTTTCCCCTTCTCATCTCATCGTGTACAAACCCAGGCTGCCATTCTGCCTTATTCACGATCTCTGTCATGCATTTTCCCTGAGTATCGAAATACACACTTTGAAAACCGGCCCTCTCCTTCGTGGGAAGACTGGGGTCAGGGGTCGGCCTATTCTGTTCCCCACTCTGTCTCTGGTGAATCCTCTCACCCCCCTGCACCTCTGGCCTGTACCCACAGTTCTTGTATGCATAAATAAATAAATCCTTTTTTTTTAAAAAGAACCCCCTTTCCATCACAGGGTCGGGGGTATGCCAGAAGTAACCCAGGGTCAGGCTCTATATCTCCACAAGATAAGGTTGGTCACCAGAAAGATCAAGAGTTTAAAGGTTCCAAATTCCAGGGAGGATTCTGGGATTTGGAGATTCTGGAATTTGGAACATGCATGGTACAGGTGCCCCCAGTTGAAACCCTGAGCACTACACACTGAGTCTCTAATGAGCTTCCCTGGTAGACACTTCACATGTGTTGTCACAATGTGATGCTGGAGGAATTCAGTGCATCACGTGGGGACCAGGGAGAGCACTCCTGGATGCTTGCCTCTGGTTTTCCCTGGGCTATACCCCATGTACATCTCCCTTCGTTGATCCTGCTTGGTGGCAGTTTTCTTTAATAAGCCTTAGCAGAATAACCACTGCTGAGCTCTAGGATTCATCCTAGAAAATTGCTGAACCTGGGGGTGGTCTTGGGAACTATGTCTGAATGTGCTAGAGTGAGCAGAGGGTGAGCATGAGTACGCCCCTGTGTGCATATGAGGTATGCAAGTGTGTGTACTTGCCTCCGTGTGGCGCTGTGTGATTGCATGTGCTGGAGCAAGGTCGAGGGGGTTCTGTGTGTAGGCGACCGCAGGGTGCATATGGAGCTTGTGAGCACGAGCATGAGTGTGCCTGGTGGTGCGCACGTGATCTGTATGTGCATGCGACTCTGCCTGCCCTTGCCTAATCTTCCAGTGTGCTCACGTCAGAGACAGATCTCAACGTCGTTGTGCTCTAAGGATCTCAACAATGTGTGAGTCCCTGCGTCTCTGGGAAATGCAGTCTTTTCTTCCCAGGTAGCCCATTTTTTAAAAGTCTGCTCCTTCTATTTTGCCAATTATTTGTGGGACATTTGGGGCTGATTAATGGGAAATGACCCAGTGTCTGAGTGGCCATATTCAGGTTTTGGATATAAGAACAGGGGCGGGGAGTCCCTAGGTATGGCTGCAGAGAGGCACATGTGAACCTGTCCCCAGCTTCTAGGGCAGCACCCCTGTTCCTTTTGGGTGACCTTGGACTAGCTCCCTCACCTCTTTGACTCTGGGTTTCCCCATTTGAATGAAATACAACACTCCAATCTTAATGAGTGGCCTGAGTGGAATGGCACATGGGCTCTGGGGATGCCAGCTCCCTTATCCCACAAATACTTTGCATTCAGACAGGCTAGTCTTCAAATTCAAACTCTGAGTGATCCCAGAAATATCATCACTTTCTGACCTCAGTCTCAGCATCTGAGAGCAAGGTGTCCCCACCTACTGATGGGAAGGTCAAACAAGCTAATCAGTTCCCACAGTTTGAGGCTGTTGCAGAACTGGCATTGATCTCCAAATTGGGTATTACTGGGATGATAGGACAGTTTTTAGTGGCAGATGGACTTAGATTCAAGTCAGGGCTCTGTGAAGTAACTTGTGTGAGACTCCTGGGGAGTCAGTTTCCTTATCTGTTGAATGGGGAGGGAGGAACAATGGGCATCAAGCACCTAGCACGCAAGAGTTCGATATCCATCCCCTCTCTTGTCTGACTTAATATCACAAAAGGGTTCAGCCTCAAGCTTTTTGGACAATCTGGACAGAGGCCTGAATGTCAGACAATCCTTTCCTTCTTAGGGTAGCCTGGCCTAGTCCCATAGAGCAAAAGCAAAGGCCTGCTGAGGAGTCAAACCCCACAGTGGGGGGCTCTAGCCCTCTGGTGAGATGAAAGAGCAGGAAGCAGTATTCAGACCCCTGCAGCAGAAGTTGGGAGGGGGTCTTCTGGTCTGGGGCAGAACTTGATTTGGGGGGGGTCACAAGTGATGGACCAATCTCTGCTCAATGCCTCCCACAACGGCTAGGCCCAAAGCTAGCCACTGCCATCCTGAGCTGGCAAGGAAGCTTCCTGATGCCGCAGCTGACATGCACCAAGGGGAGCAGAGCAACGCTCCTTAGACCACCAGAGAACAAGGACAGGGCTCAGGAGTGGTCACCTCATTGTCACCAGCAGGGCTCCAGGCCTTGTCTATAAATACACAGACATACATACAGCCTTACTTCCTGATTTTCAGTCCTTCTTCATTGTCTGGAAGGAAAAACTCAAAAGATGTGTAGGTCTTGACCATGTCCCGGCGATACTGGCCAACGTTGAATTCTGGGGAAAGGAGAGGCTCAGCTTTCACATAACAGCATAACCCTCCCCAACTTCTGACCTTGACCCACCCTCAGGCCCTGCCTAAAATCCAGCATTCTCTCTCTTCCCTCTGCCCCACAAAACCCCAAATGCCCTCTTGGAAAACTGAGGTCAAGACTCACCCTTCGTGGGCACACCAATCCAATTCAGGTAGCGAGTCAGCTTTTTAGAGATGTAGGTCTTGCCCCTGGCAGGCAGGCCCACCATGACAATGAGCGTGGGGCAGTTGGTCATGCAAACTGAAAGGCAAGAGCATGGCATCAGACAGGGCTGGGACCCCTTCCAGGATGTCATTCTCTCTCTGCTATAGTTCCTTAACCTCAGGGCACAGGACTAGTATCAGATGTACCTTCCTGTCTCCTCACATCCACAGCTCCCTGAGTGCCCCCAGAACCTAGTCTTAAGTCACCACCGTCATACTCCCCTTGCTGTTTGGACTCCAGCAGTACAAGGAATCTCACCAGCCCTTGTCCTGACATACTGCCACGCCCCCGGCCAGACACTGTTGGGGAGTTCCCATCACATACAGGACGGAGCCCAATCCCAGGGGCATATTCAATGCCCTGCCATCCAGGGGTCTATACCCCTCCTCCAATAATCATTCAGCATTTTCAGTGTGCAGCTCACGGTTTACCCTCTTCATGATACCAGCTCAAAAGCTGTCTCCCCAATGCATCCTTTCTCCAAGGCACCTCCATGCCCACATGGTGCCCTCTCTCCCACGATTCTGGCCATCTCACAGAGTCTGTCTCTCCTGAACACAGCTTTGGGCCACTGGGGGTTCTGGCAGAGTTGGTGATCAAAAATTATGGGCAGGAGAGAGAAGAAAGCATCTTGAAACCCACCAGGGCGAGGGCCACCAGGGTGAGGGCCACCAGGTGCTGGGACAAGAGATCCAGGCCGATGCTTACTAGGGCTGTCCCTCTGGTAGCCAACCCAACAACATTCCATGTGCCACTGGTGTGCCTACATGAAGTTGTCAAGGCTAGAGGCAGAGAAGGGTCTGGCTTAGCCCTCAGTCCCTGGACTTCTAGGACACCACGGCTGCGTTACTGTCAAAGTCATGTGACCTGGTTCAGCTTTCTGTTTGGTATCACTTCAGAAGCCTCGGGAAGCTTTCCTTTCATTATCCTCAGGACCTGGGCCAGGTGAAACAACAGCAGACTAACAGGTGGACAGATGTGGGAATCTGTCATTGCCCCTTCTTCGCCCACGTGGTTTTCCAAGTACCTTCACCTAGTAGACAGAATGCTCGGCCCTGCCCCACAAGTTGTCTTCCTGGCAGGAGTTGGAGCACAGAGACCCCAGGGACAGCCCTGCCTGGGGTCGGGTTCCTAGCTTGGCACTTACTGGCAACTCTAAGCCTCAGTGTCCTCACCTGTATGATAGAATAATCCCTCAGTGAGGTCCAGCACTCTCCCCATGGAAAAGCCACAGCATTTCCAGGAGGCCGTGTTCTCTGCCAGCATGTCCGGCTATGGACATAGGTATACCTCTGCTCTGATGCTCTGGGGAACTAGGGGTGCAGAGGCACTGTCTGTCTCCAGGGAGACCCTGCAACAAGGGCCCTCCTTGCCACTAGGGTTTCCATAGCTCCTATGCATGGCCTTTGGGCAACTGTGAGCCCCAGGGGAGGAAGGGAAGGGATTCTAAGGAACACAGTGAGCAAGTGGGAGGAAACTTGCAGAAAAACCTCAGCATTGACTAAGGCAAGAGAAAAACAAGTTAGGTAAGGCCCTGCATCTTGAGGGCCAGAGTTGTTTGCACAATTCCTGGCTGACTGGCAGGGCACTCAAAAGGACAGAACATCTGCTAACTGTGTGGGGAAACCTATACTCAGCCTGTGAGGAGGTGACTCCTTCCCATTGCTCCCTGAAGGGCCCTCCCATGAACTCAGGTGTGAGGTCCTGGATCCCCTCTTCACATTTTCAACCCTCCCAGAGACACCTCTGGCCTCCTCTCACAGTGCTTGGTGACAGCACCCCTCCTCCTCTCCAAGGGCCGTCACAGTGGGCAGCAGATCAGGGCTGGACACAAAACAAGAGCAATAAATTACCTATTACCTCTGTTCCTTAAGATGAAAGTCCAAGGAAATGACCCAAAACAAAAGTCAAAGTACAATTGCCTTCGCAACAGCTCTGCTTACAACAACAAAACACTGGGAAAGTCCCAGCAGTAGAGAAATCGCAAACTGAGGCCCACGCAGAGGGTAGGTGCCATCGCACCTAAGAGAGGGTGTGTGCACCAGGTGAGCTGATATGCAGCTAGAACTACAGCTCTGGGTCTCAAGGATCCCGACACTGAGCAGGGGGATAGCAGAACACAGCTGTTGAGAAGGCTCAACCTATACGGAAGGAAATCTGAAGACATGTCAACTCAGCTTCCCTTCTAGTTCCTTTTCCTGTAAATTTGCTCAAGGCTACAGGAGCCCTAAGAGCCAAGACGCAGGTTTGCTAAACTGAAGCGGCCTGTTCGGCTGCCATTATAGTTACCTGCAGTTCTGCATTCCTATACGGTCAGAGCTGGCCTTCAGAACCGGTCAATCAGCCACATGAACCAAACCTTACAAGGTGCCTTCCATATCAATCAAGAGCAGAAAGCTTGATCACTCTGGGAAGGGTATGAATCAAGAGGTATGACCAGGAACGCCTGGGGGGCTGATGATGGATGTATAAACTTACTCCCAACTCATACTATCATGAGGTATGACCAGGAATGCCCGGGGTGCCGAGGACCGATATATGACAAGGGACCCCAGAAGCTGACTAGTGGAATGCCTTGTTGATAAGATTAGGACCATGGCTGGGGCCCTGGGGTCCAGTTTCGACTACAACACTTGGTCATCAAGCTGATAACAAGGTCAGCAGACTCATGTCCCCCCAAGCCCTAGATAACATTCCTGAGTTTCCCCCATCCTTTTCTCCTTGTCCTCCTAACCCACATAGCTGATGCTCTATGATTATTCTATCAATAAAAATGGCCAGGATCTTGCTCTCAAGCAGCATCCTGCATTATGTAGCCTGCTCCACGACTCCCGTGTCTTTGTCAGTGTCGTGTTGCCCAACGCAACACCAAGACGCCTGAGACAGGGACTACTAGTGATGGATGGTGACTGCTTTCTGGCAGTGCCACCTCAGGGGCAGCCACAAGTCCCTGGAGTGAGTTCCAAAACTGATTCCTGTGCTGCATCTTCCTACTTCTTGGGCCAGGCTGGGGAAGGAAAAGTTCTTTGAAATGAAGCAATCTGGCATCACTGTCTGTTCAGAAGGTACAGAAGGCCATCTGTCCTGTCATCCTGTGTACACACCAGTCACATTACCTAAGAAGAGTCTTGCCACCCTTTGGCTAAGATAAGCCACCACAAACACTGTCCTTTCTGTCTGCTCCCTGAGTTACCTCTTCACTCCCTGCCCTACCTGTCCCAAAGCACCTCAGATCTGAGCTGAAGGGTCAGTGATGAGGAAGGAAACAGCTTCCAGGTCCTTCTGTGTGGCTCTGAATTATATCAAAAGGATTAAAATTGCTAATGGAGATTGGGACATCCCTCGGCCAGTCCCACATAGCACTGGCCAGACCTGAGATCAAGAGAACTTCTACTGACCCCTCCACCCTCCAGTCTTCACTATCTTTGAGGTCCTCCAACTTAATCATAAGACCACCAGGCAGAGGGTAAAATGCTGCCCGGACACAGGCTCTGCGAACTACGATTGCCAGGCAGGTTCCACACTCCAGCTCACTGTTTACTGATCCCCTACTGAGAACTCAGGGCTCTAGCGTGGGGCCCAAACTCCTACATAATCTGAAGGTCTCATCTCTGGTCCCATGAGTGCCACCCCCTTCTCCAGGAAGCCTTCCTGTACTGAGATAACTCAGAGTCCTACTGATCGTAACAGCCCCTCTGCTCAGACCAGAGGCACATTTTAATCACATTACTTGAAGCTGGAGATACACAGGCCCTGCCCCAGGGACTGTGAGAACTGGGCAAATCCCCTCCCCATTAGGCCTCAGTTCCCTATAATAGGTTTTGGTTCAGAGCTGACACTTCAGGTCCCCACTGTGAGGTATCATGAAACAAAGAAGAATGGTGGTGATGAAATTACAGAATCACATGCTACCACTTATGGAGCACTTACCACTCCTTAAGAGGCTCACGGAGCCTCATGGAGCAGGCATGACAACGGTCTCTGTTCCACAGAGGAGGAACCTGAGCTCGTCAGCTCCTTGCCCAAGGTCACATGATGAGACCTGAGTGTTGCTGCCTCCAAAGTGTATGTTCTCACTCCTTCCCCTTTATGAAATAACAGCAGTCACCCCTAGCTAGGACCACACAGCCCTAACAACAGACTGGCTAGAAGCACAAGAGGAAGGAACCTTGGCCTCCACACTTTCAGAAAAGTCTGGAAGGAGGGCTGGCTAGGGCATGACCATAGCCTATCCCCAGGACTCAGAGCACTAACTGGAAAGCCATGGCCCCAGGTTGACAGTGTGATCACAGCCTTGGCTCCCCACCAGAACCTACCTACATCACAGTCACAGTCATGACCCACCATAATATCTGGTCAAAGTCATGGCCACTCCCTACCAGGATCCACAGTGCAGCAAAAGATACACACACTTCAAGACTTTTTTTAATATCCCGGTCAAAGTCAAGCCCCCGGCGGCCTTGAAGCACCACAAACACTGAGCACTCTCCCCTCCCTTATCATGCCCAAGCAGAGCTCAGAAGTGCAGGGAGACCCTAGCACATAATGCAATCTCCTGATGTCTGTTTTTACTACTTCTACCCTCAGTTGGACTAAATGTTCTGAGATCACTGCCAACTTGCAAATTCGTTACAATGCTTCAGTTACTCCAAAAACGAATCTTTGTTTTTCCTGATAATAAAAAGGCTGCAGGCTCATTTACGGACAAGCAGAAACAGAAAGTCAAGGAAATAGATTAAACACCCAGGACTCCAGGAAAGATGAGCCCCTTAACAAGCCTGTGAATTTCTGCATGTGGCCTAGCTGTTTAGCCCTCTAATTTTGCCAGTCACCCGTGACCACTTGCACATGCTTATACACCCATGAGCACAAGGATGGGCCCCTATGGCACAGTGTTCTCACTGCAGGTGCCTGAAAAACCTCCCAAAGCTGGGTTTCAGGCCCAAAGGGGTGAAGGCCAAGGGGACCCCTCCTCCCACCGGATGACTAGGCACCCTTGGGCCTTTGAAAATTCTGGGTTCAGAGAGATCAAGCGATTCCCTAGGTCCAACACAGCTCAGAGCCCAGTCAGACCACCGGTCTACCCCTTCTGGCCCGCAGAGAGGACAGCCCCGCGTTCAGAGTCCGCTCGGGTTTTGAGGTGGTGGGGACAGAGCGCTGAGAAGGGGGCGGGTCCTCTCCGAGGTGGTGCCGGCCAAACCTAGCCCCCTCTGAGCTGAGACGCCACCACGTACCAGTCCCCACCCCCTGCTCTGCCACACCTGTTCCCGTCCCCCACCTGTTCCTGCTCTCCTCCCACGAATCCTGGCGGCGTCGCTAGTCCCGGCTCCCCACCTGTTCCGGTAGGCTGCCGTGGGACCACTGCCCAGGCGCTCTAACCACCTCCCCTGCGCGCGGACCCCGCCTCACCACGGCGCTGGCAGGCGTGCAGAACGGGTCGCCCATTGCTATATGGCATCCAGATTTTCTTCAAAGGGTTCTGGGTCAGTTCCCGTGGGGACGCCATCCCGGTCCAGGATGAGTCGACTGCGCGACTTCGGACCCTGTAGCGGGGCCACCTCGGGCCACTTGAGGTCCCGCCCCTCGGCCCCGCCCCTCATCCAGCAGCGGTGACGCCGACCCAACTCCCTGCAGGCCCCGCCCCGGAGCGAGCGGGCTCCACCCCGACTGAAGAGGGCCGGGCCTTCGAGTACGCATGTCCACCCAGCCCGCGCGCCGCTCGCGGCCAAGCCGGCCCGAGGCGCCGGCCGGGATTGAGAGTGCGCATGCCCAGTTCTCAGCGCGCCCCAGGCTCGGATTGTGCAGGCTCCGCCCCGGATGCGCGCCCAGCCGGGCACACCCGCCCGAACGCGCGCTAAGCGCAGGCCTCTCCCATGGCCTTGCACTGGGGCACCACAGTCTCACCACCAGGGAACCCCGGGTTCCGCTCCTTGCCACGCATGACCTCAGGGGCTCCAGAAGGGAGGGGTTTGCATGCGATAGAGCCTGAACCACAGGACTTGATAACGCTAGTAAGTGTCCAGTAGACCCAGCTGTCAGGCTGTCAACTCCATAGCAACCCGCCAGTCAGTGCCCCTGACCTTCTCTTGCCAGCCCTGGGACTCCCCCTGCGCACATGGCTCAACCATGCTGAAAAAGCCCCTTTATTTTATGGAAAGGGACACAGTACAAATTTGATCATGTTTCTCTCTCTGCCTTGGCCAGCTAAACCCCAGCCCACCTGGCACACAAGAGCAGGACCTTTTAACCATGCTTTCTGGGGGGGCTCACTGAGTCCTGGCAGTGGGGCTTATTTCTTCTTCCAGGATTTCATTTTTATAAATTAAATTTTAAATCATAAGTTTACATATATTTTTTTAATTATAGTTTCTTTTAAGATTTATTTATTTATGCATACAAGAACTGGGGTACAGGCCAGAGGTGCCAGGGGTGACAGGATTCACCAGAGACAGAGTGGGGAGCAGAACAGGCAGACTGACTGAAATACACTGCTGAAGGGAGCAGCGGGAGAGACCAGAGAGGTCTGACGCACCATGTGGGTAGCTCCCCGGCCGGCTGGGATCGAACCTGCACTGCAGAGGCTGTGGACAGCTTCACAGCGCTGTGCTCAACCGCCTGCGCCACCAGGGAGGCCCTACATATATTTTCAAATGAGCTTTTGTATCTTCATCAGGAAAATGGAATGCACACATCATCAATCTTACAAGGTTCTGGTATAGATAAGAATCTGGTATAGAATGGAAAAATCATTCTAACACACATTAATGTTATCACTTATATTGCTATCTCTCTCTTATCTCTAAATCCGCAGTGGAGGTAGCAAGGGCCAAGGGAAAGATTCAGAAGTTCAGGAACGCCTGGTTCAGTGTCTTTCCATTCTGCTTTCTCAGCCCAGCCTCTCCAAGTTTCATACACTTTGTGCTCTAGCCCCCACCCACACTGGTGGAACCTGGGTCACACTGCCTTCTATCCTTGTCCACCAAATCCCCTGGCAGGATCATTGCATCCTTAAGCTCTCAGTGCCCAATGTGTGCCCGGCCAGGAGCCAGGTGCCAGGGGCATGGAGAGCAAGTCTTAACCCAGTGCACCATGGGGACAACGCCCCCTTCCTCTGGCCTCCTTGCCCCTGCGTTGGGTCAGTCCTCCACAGCCCTGCAGAACTTGGCAAGGAACTTTTCAATGATTCTGATATAGATATCTTGCCCACTTCACAGGAAATGAAAGTTCAGGAAGTTCATATATTGAAACCCAACCAGACTTCCCTGAAACCGTCTCTAGATGCCAGCCCTGTCCTAGACAGTGTTCACCACTTCCTCCTTCATGTTCTCTCCGCAGTGTCTACCACCCACCTCTCCACCTCATGCCTAGGAGTTCTGAGTACATCCACAAGCAGCTCCTTATGGGCACATTGCCCCTATCATCTGCTTCCACTTCTTCAAAGCCGCTCGTTCTGTTCCTGAGACAGACAGCCCTCCTATCTGTGTCCTGGTCACAGCCAAAGCCATCCTGGGGCTGTCCCAGCCTCAGAGAACTGTCAGTGCACTCCTACACCCCATCTAACCCCAGCACTCTCTGCAGAAACGACCTCCTCCAGCATTCAGACACACAGCACCTCCTTAGGCCTGCCTGCTCTCTTCCCAGACTTCCTGGGATGTTAGGCAAAGGATCAAGAGGCAGCAGGGGGCCTCCCCTGGGTGGTGCAGGTGATTGAGCACAGCGCTGTGAAAATTAGGTTTGATCCGGCCAGCCTGCAAGGCAGACCTCTCCTGTGGCGCCCGCTGCTCCCTTCAGCAGTGTATTTCAGTCAACCTGCCTGTTCTGTTCCCCACTCTGTCTCTGCTGAATCCTCTCACCCCCCACAACTCTGGCCTGTACCCCGGTTCTTGTATATATAAATAAATAAATCTTAAAAAAAAAAAAAAAAGAGGCAGCAGAGTAGTTCAGGTGGCCAGGGCCATTTCTAGGAAGCCATCATGACCAGACAGTCTGGGCCTGACTTCCCAGGAAATGCAATGGTTTTACACCTCCCACTCTTCCCCAGTCTGACCCTGGACTGACTCAGACACACCCTCCTCAGTCCCTATATCCAGAACAGCCACAAATCAACAGCAGAGGAGCCTGGACTCCTCCCCAAGGCCAAAGTCTACATCTGCTCTGAAGACACTCCCCATCGCTTTTCCTGTGGCTCTATCCCTTTGGAAGAAACTGAGGAAGAGAAGGACCTAGCATCACAAACCCAGCCAACAGTGCAGGAGGGACTCAGTTCAACTCTGTCCTCTGAAACCTCACCATCCACACCTGGCACTATCGCCAAACTTCCTACCTTGACACCTGTGCACTTGTTTGTTCCCTCCACGGAAATGCTCTTCTGGCTTTCTGTGCCCTCAGCATCAGTAATGCCCAATAGATTAACTCATGCTTTCCTCTCCTTGGAGTCATCCCAAAGTGAGGTAGCTAACTTGGCCAGGGGTAGAGGGTATGCTGGGATATCAGAGTGCACGCCTACGTGGACATGTCCTGCTCAGCTTCTCCCCACCATCATCCTGCCTGGCACTGGTGGGCTTCTGTGGTGTCCTCTGCACTGACCAGTAGACCTCCTCCCAGTGTCCCTGGCCACAAGATATGGCGTGGCCAGAGTCTTCAATCCTCAGTTCTCAGTGTTCAGACTCTTTCCAGTCCCTGTATCTGCTGGCTAGTCCTGGCCAAACCGCCACACCACCCTTTGCAGCATAAAGACCCAGCAGCCTCAGTGCACTCTACACAGACCCACATGTGATGCACGAAAGTGCATGTATGCACATAGCTGCATGCGTACACACTCAAAAGCCCTGTGCCCAGGTATGTGCAGAGACAGGGGGGCTGCAGTGGGGCCTGCTGCTCTCTGCTGCCTCCCTTTCCGCTTCCCTCTGCCACCACTGGGAGGTGTGGGGAGTTCCCAGGAGTTCCAGCTTCCTCTGGCCATTCTTAGCCAAGAGTGTCCCTGGGCCCAGAACTCAGGGAGTGTGAGGTTCCAACCCAGTAATAGGGAGCCATGTGACCAAGCTGCCTGTGAGCCCTGGTCAGTACCTGCAGATCCCAGCCTGGTACACGGTATACAGTAGGTGCTTACGGTGACTCAGGACCATACAGTGTACACAGTAAGGGCTCAGAGAGGATCATGACCAGGACAGAGCACACAGTAGGTGCTTAGAGCAGCTCAGGACCAGCAAGAGGCACACAGTAAGTATCCTAGAAATACTGGCTTAAGAAAAACTTCCTAAATGAGCTCCCCAAACTGGCATGACCCCCCAGAAGGAAATGGACAAATGTGACCCCTTGGAGGACAGCAAAGGGCAGAGTGGGACGGCCTCAGGCAGCTCCAGCTGGCTGTCCCTCCCCCAGCTGAAGGAAGAAGCTATTTATAGTTCCCCCTTGGCCCAGCCCCCTCTCCCCTGCGAGGCAACAGTGATCCCCCTCCTCCAGGCCACTGACAGATTGATGCCCCCTCAGAAAACCCCTATACATGGAGAGACCCCTCACACCTTCACACACCTTCCAACACTAACCCCACAAAGCCCAGGTCTTTTCCCAATCCCCACCCTCACCAAGCAGCCCATGCCTACCCTGCCTGCTGCTCCCTGACCCGGGGTCTGTCAGGGAGCTGCCTCCTTCCGTGCCTCTGTCCATCCTGCAACAGAACTGGCCTTGGCCGCCGCCCCCCCGCAGCTTGGAGTCGGGCAACCCCGCCCTCCGCCCTCCGCCCTCCGGGTTCTGGAGAAAGCCCCAGCCAGCCCTTCAGCCCTGCCTCTCCAGCCCCGCCTTAGGCCCGCCCCCCCAGGGCCGCTTCCAGTTGAGAGATCAGCGCCAGTGCCCCCACCCCAGGCAACCACGCTTCAGCCAGTATGCCTTTCTCTCCGGCCAGAGTTGTCCACACTGCCCAGTGTCTGCCCTTGTCTCTGGCTGGAGTTGGCTCTACTGCCCAGAGTGCCTGCCCATGTGCAGGCAAGCCTGGCCACGCTGCCGGGAGAGCCAGTCCCATCTCCAGCCCAACAGTGGAGTTGGGAGTGTGAAATCAGGTAACACTCCCTGCACACCAAGGAACCAGGCTAGTGGAATGGGGGCTGGGGAGGTAGGGAGGAGGGCAGCGCAGCCAGGTGCCCCTGGGTCTCACTCTGATTCTCGGGTCTCATTCTCCAGTCACTATCTTTATTGAGCACTTCCCATGTGCCAGAACCTCAAATACATCTTGTCAGTGTTCACAAGAAATTTGGTGGCATCACTTTGTTTTACAGATGACAAAACTGAGGCTCGGAAAGGTGCGCTCACCTGCTCAGGACAATTCAATAAGGAGGGGCAGGGCTGTACTGGAGCCCCAGCAGCCCAAACCCCTCTCCTCTGGGGCTGAGGCTGTGAGTCAAGGGCGTGGGTAAGAACACTGCCCTACTGTGTGTTATGCTTGCTTTATGCAAGTTTGGGGACAAGCACCTGTTCCTCCCAGCCTCGTCACATAGCCGCACCTTGCTCTCACACGCTCACAGCTGTCAGATCCATGGAGACACAGCCACACACGCACACACACCCCCAAGGCCAGGCTGCCACAACCACGGCCGCAAACTTCCCACATCTGAACATTCATGCCTGGAGATGACCTGCACGGCCCCATCCATCTGAGGTGGGTGCTGGGTGCATGCGACTCCCTACTCCCACCCCAGCGCCTCCCTGGGTGGTGACCTATGGGAAACAGGCCTGGTCTTAGGTGGACTGGTCTCAGGTGCAGTGTTGAGTTCCTGAGCTGAGGTTCCTATAAGTGGCATGAGGGACCATGTGCAGCGGCGTCCGGATGCTCTGTGATTGTGTGGCAAGACTCCACATGGTAGTGACCTTCCATGGTAGTGTCCAAGTGTCCAGACAGACTGTCCATCTGCGGGGCTCCCAGGTGTGGCGAGACTCCACTTGGCAGCAACCCAACATGGCACTATCCAACTGTAACTCTATGAGACACTCAGTTGGGATGGGACACCATGTGACAGTAACCCCGCATGGTGTGTCCAGAGGCACTATGCCCAGATATAGCACCATCCAGCTCTGTCGCTGCCCTCCAGGTCTCCCTGTTCAGGGGGCCCCATCATGGTGACCGCCTCCCTCAGGCTCAGCGGCGGCCAACATGGGCTAGGATATGAGAATTGATGGCCGCCTGTTCCCTCACAGCCCTAGCCCGGGCCTGCTCCAGTAAGATCTGCAGAAGGCCGACAGGGACGTCCAGTGAGAGTGTGATGCGGGGGCCAGGGCGGGGGCCAGAGCTGGGGCTGTCCGAGGCCGCAGGGTAGGGAGTGGCCAGGGTAAAGTTCTGAGGGAGGAGCTGGAAGGCCGGGACAGGAGTTGCTGGGACAAGCAAGGCCCTGCTCAGGATCAGGACCATCAGCATCAGCAGAGGCCACCTGGTCATCGTGTGATCCAGCTGCGAGGAAAAAACAGGTTCGGGGCAGGGGTACTGGTCAGCTATGGCTCATGGACAGAGAGAGACAGGGAAAGCAGAGACAGAGATTGAGGGGTAGAGATTAGGGACGTCAGGTCAGGGACACAGAGAGACAGAGACAGAGAGGAGAACATCAAGAAGAAAGCCAGAGTGAGACACAGAAAACCAAGACAGAGTTGTACAGAGAGGGGTCAGAGAGGCAGAATGAGAGCTAGATACAGAAGAGGAGAGGGAGTAGAAAGAGAGATGAATGAGATGAGGCTGAGTGAAGTTGAAGCAGATGGAAGAGATCAAAACCATTACAGAGACAGAGAGCTTGATGGAGATAAGGATGCAGAGAGAGGGGGGCCTCCCTGGTGGCGCAAGGGGTTAAGACACAACCTATGGGGCCTCCCTGATGGCGCAGCGGTTGAGCGCTGGGTTGCGAAGCTGCCCGCAGCCTCTGCAGCACTGGTTCAATCTCCGGCTGCTCCCCGGCCACCAGAGGAGGGTCCCGCATGGCGCGCAGACCTCTCCTGCTGCCCGCTGCTCCCCTCAGCAGTGTACTTCGGTCCTTCTGCCTGCTCTGCTCCCCGCTCTGGCTCTGGTGAATTCTCTCACCCTCCCGCGCTTCTGACTGTACCCAGTGCTTGTATAAATAAATAAATAAAAATAAATAAATCTTTAAAAAAAAAAAAAAAGACACAACCTATGAAGCTATCCACAGCCTCTGCAGCAAGAGTTCGATCCCCTGGCCAGCCAGGGAGGTGATCCACATGGCGCGGCAGACCTCTCCTGACTCGCCCGCTGCTCCCCTCAGCAGTGTATTTCAGTCTGTCTGACCCCACTCTGTTCTGTTTCCCAATCTGTCTCTGGCGAATCCTCTCACCCCCCACACCTCTGGCCTGTACCCCAGTTCTTGTGTGCATAAATAAATCTTAAATAAAAAAAGAGTGAGTTCATTTAAAAAAAAAAAAAAAAAAGGATGGAGAGAGACTGACAAAAGGAAAGTCCGAGGTCTAAGCAAGAGAAACAGCAGGTCTAGGACAAAGAGGGGTAGAAATGGTGGTGCTCGAGGTAGAAAGCAGTCAGAGACCCCTGAACCCCCTCAGGTCCAGACACCTCCACTAACCCAAATCCCAGATCCACTCAACCCCCAGGACTCTGCCCATCCGGACCCCATTCCTACCAGTACCAGCCTCCAGGCTCCGCTGGGGGTGAGTCGGGCTGCTGAGGCTGCCTGGGGCTGGGGCCAGGCAGTGCTGCGCTGTGGTCTCACCCTCTTCCCTCCTTAAGGGCCCTTTATCTCCCTCAGCGCCCTGGGATTGGAGCTAAAGCATGCTTCCTGAAACAGTCCCCCACCTATGACTCAGCACCTCCTGGGGGGCAGCGTGGACACATTCTCAGCCCTGACCCCATCTACTCCGTTTTGGGGACAAGTAGTGGGATGAATGTCACAGGACAGTGACCAGGACTCTGCACCCATGTAAGATACTACTGACCTCCCAGAGAAAACCTGCCTCCCCCGCCACACACACCCTTGTCTGCAAATAATCACAACAGAACCCTGTTAAAACAGCAGCTTTAATGCCCCCCAGAATCAGCACCATGTCATCACAGGCTTGGGTCAAAGGGCGGGTCAGACGCAGTCACATCCGCTCACTGCCCACAGCCACCCACACTGAGTCATCTGCCAGGGAGGCAGAAGCCACAATGGGGGTTTGTCCACAGGGGGGAAGGCTAGACCCACAGGACCAAGTCACTGAAATAACGGACACGCACATGCACACTCACGTGCACACAGGTCACTAGCACCAAGGGGAGGGCCAGCAGGGTCCTGCTGAGACACCAGTTCCTCCAGGGAACACAGAACTTCAGCTCCTCATTGGCGCCTCAGCTCTGGGCAGCACCTGGCAGGGCAGGTTGGGAGGTGTCTTCAGCCATCTGGTCTACCCAGCATGTCAGCCGCAGAGAAACATGGGGACAGGCATCACTGGGAAGGGAGCTGAGAGCAAGTGGGAGTGGGGGCTCTGGCCTACACGGGGTCTTGAAAGGAGGGAATGTGAAGGGGACCATACGGGCAACTCCACAGCTAGAGCCCTCTATTTAGTTCTTTTGCCTGGAGGTCTGTCCTAGGTCCCCCAACCTGAGGAGGCTTCTGACCCACAACCTAATCTAGGTGGGCTCATACCTGTCCCCTGGCTCTGGGCCACCTGGGGCTGGCAGCGGCGCTCACAGGCCTCACGGGTCCCAAAACGGTTGGCATTCCCTCCGCAGCCACCGTAGACGAAGGGGTGACAGGCCTCCCTGCCACCTGCCACAGCCCGATGGTACCAGCGCAGGGTGTAAGCAGTACAGGAGCCCTCATCCAGTGGAAGCAAGCAGGGGTCTGGAGCTGATGGCGTCAGGAGGTCAGCAGGGGTGTGGGAATCACAGAGGGGGGTCAGGAGAGGTCAGCGGGAATCAGCTCTTTCTGCCCCTATCCCATCATACCCCACCGCCCCCCCGAGCCAGTCCCCATTCTCACCATCACCATCCCAAAGAGCCTCAGGGTCCTGGTATTCCTCCACAGAATACTCAGAGTATTCGTACTCGTCGTCCTCAGGGGGCACTCGGCCTGCATAAGGGTGGGGTGTGCTGTCACCAAGGCGCTGCTGGGTCAGGTTCGTGCTGCCCAGTCCTGGTCTCAGGGTGGGCAGGCAGCACAGGTGTCCCATGTGTGCACAGGGTGTTCGTGCAGGTGCCCTGCGTGCAGAGTCTATGCACGTGGCCTGTGCCAGGCAAGTGTGAGCCCCTGCTCGAGTCTGTGCCCCATCCACACACGGGTGCAGTGTCCTCACCTTCCTCTTCTGCATGCGAGACCCGGAGCACTGGCACAGGATGGAGCGGGGAGCCGGCGGTGTCTGCAGCATAACTAGGGAGGGGTCCTGGAGCACAGGGCCCTGGGGTCACTGGGGCTTCACCCCAGCCAAGAGGACTAGTAACGGGCACAGCAGGACCTTGGGTGAGGAAATTCCAGGAGCAGAAAATACCAGAAAACTACTCACGTGATCCAGATGCAACAAACTGGCCCTGGCAGGCTGGAAGGGGCAGAGAGGGGCAGAGAGAGAGGCGATGACAGGGAGAGCAAGACACAGAGATGGAAAGAAGCAGGGAGGGAGAGGAGACACACACACGGGGGTAGAGACAGACAGAGTGACAGAGAGATGACAGGAAAAAGAGGACACAGGGTGGGGAGCAGGGAGAGAGAGAGAGAGAGAGAGAGAGAGAGAGAGAGAGAGAGAGAGAGAGAGAGAGAGAAGCAGAAAAGCAAAGGGCAAGAGACACAAAGAAACAGGTAGGCATGAAGACAGACATGGGAGGAAGGAGACAGAACTTCACTCTGATGTCCTGATGGAGCCCACAGCACCCCGCCTCCTCTGGCTCCATCGGGATCTAGGACCCCTACGCATCTATCAACATCTGCCTGTGTGCTTCCATCTGGGGAGGGCCTGTCAGCATGTCACTCCTGAAGTACTTGTGCCCTTCTGCGTAAGCCATCCACCTCTGCCCATCTTCTTGGCTGCTGGTCCCCCAAAGTTCTGAGGACCCTGACTGTCCCTGTCTAGGGGTACTGGGGTGTAATGGGAATGGGGATTCTCTGGGTTGGACCCCACTTACCGCAATGCTGACTCAATTCCTGACGCACAAAGCCCCGAATGTCACCCTCCTGGGGGCACAAGACAAAGATCAATAAGAACCCATGGATCACAGGAGGGACACAGGGCACACGACAGAGGGACCATAGAGAGACAGCATCCATCAGGGGCCCAGACCCAGGGGATTAGGGTATCGGGTGCAGGAAGCAGGGCTCCAGCCCACCCAAGCCCACACTCACTGTCAGAGCAGCTTCTCCCTTCTCACCACGGGGGCCAACAGGTCCTGGCCGCCCCTATGTGCAAAAGGTGGGACCAGACTGTGACTTCTGATCTCATGGACACCAATGGTCACCCCAATCTCTCACCCCAAGACCAGGAATTCCCACTCACCTGCTCCCCTCTCTCTCCAGGGGCTCCCGGGGCCCCAGGGGCACCCACCACACTTTCTCCGGGGGGACCTCGCTCACCCTATCAGGCATGACCGAGTGAGCAGGGTCAGAGGCCAAGGTGGTCAACAGCAAAGCAAAACAAGATCATAGGTTCAGGAGTTGAGGCAGGGATATTGGGGGAGGGTCAAGGTTGGAAAGGTCAGGGAGGTTTAGGGTCAGGAAGCAGAGTCAGGGCCCCTTACCTTCTGGCCCTGAAGTCCCTCAGGACCTTTGGGACCAACACTCCCAGGTGGCCCAGGGAGACCAATAGAACCATCATTGCCCCTGGGACCTGGGGGGCCCCCAGTTCCTGGGAGCCCCTAGGGAGAGATTGGTGAGAGTCAGTGGTCAGGGCTCCCCAAAATGGGCTCACTTCCAGATAGTACAATCTCCTCAATTGATCATAACCTTGACCACAACTTACCCGCTCCCCTTTCTCACCCTGGTCACCCTTGGGTCCAAGTTGCCCATCAAAGCCTCGGTCACCCTGGCAACAGAAGAAGCATGCCTTGGCTTCCCTCAGCGCAATCCCCATGATCCTCCTGGCCCCACGACCATGACCTTCCATGACCCAAGCACATGTGACTCTACCCGTTCAGGACCGTCAAACAGCTATGATCCCCATAATGTCACCCCCACTGTAGCACTCCTTGCCCTACTCCACCTATTTCCCTTATACCGGCACACTGACCTCCCCACCAATCCCCACCCACTGCAACACTGCAACCCCTCAGTCCTGATGTGCATATCCCTGCTGCTCCACCACTCATCTCACAACACTGCCCACCCTGAAACCTCGAGACCCACCCCACTTCACCCCCAATGACCCAACCTTCCTTGATCTAAACTCCCCATGACCCTTCTGTGCCCTTCCCTGCCCCATCCTGACCCCCCAGAGTCACTGCCCAGAGACCCCATACCTTGGGACCGATCAGGCCTTCTTTCCCAGGGGCTCCCGACTGACCCGGTATACCCGGTTCCCCCTGGAAAAGAAAAGACATGAGCTGGGCCCTGCCCACCCATCCTCTCCCTATTTGGGGTGTGCCTCACACTCACCATATCTCCTTTGCGTCCTGCCAGCCCGGGGCGGCCTGGGAAGCCAGCTTCTCCCTGCAGGCACCAGGTGGAGGGGTCAGCCCAGACTCCAGGCCCCAGAGCACCCACATCCCTGTCAACTGTCACCATTGTACCTTGTCTCCCTTTTCTCCGTCCAGGCCACAGGCTCCCTTGACCCCCCGTTCACCCTGAGGGGGAAAAAAAACAAGTGGAAAAGTGACCTCCAGATACCTCAGCCTATTACTCTGATCCTGAAATCAACTCTCCAAACTGGCCACAAACATGCTAACCTCTGACCTTCCTACCTCTGATGTAACACCCCACATTCAACCATGTCAATCCCAACATCCAACCCCAGATACCTGAACTCTGACTCCAGATACCTCACCCTCCAACATCAGGCCTTCCTGATCAGGAAAAAAACCCAGTCCCTTTTCCTACCTTAAGGCCCCGGGGACCCATGAAGCCAATATCTCCTTTTTCTCCTCGGATACCAGGGGCTCCATCCTGTCCTGGGGATCCCTGGGCCAGAGAGGAGTCAATGCAAGGTCAGGGGAGGTCAGTGAGGGATCAAAGGGAATCACTCAGGATTAATGCGCAGGGAACTCTAAGGAGGTGAGTCACCACTGGAGGCCAGGGATGGTGGAAGGACAGGGTTTTCCATGGGGACAAGGGTCACCAAGGGGATCAGCAAGTGGAGTGGGACCATCACAGGGGTTACTGTGAAGGTGGGGCCGCTGGGAAACATGAGAGCACTCAGTCACTATAAGATCAAAGGCTACAACATGGGGATGGGGGCCCGTGGGAGCAAGGACATCTTACCGGGTCACCAGGGATCCCTATAGCACCAGGTTCACCCTGTAGAGAGTGGAGATGAGGGAGGGCGGCCCCTCAACGTGATTGTCCCCCAATGACAGCCACCCAGTGACTCTGCAGCTTTGGCTGCACACAGACCCCATATGGCCAACAGTGAGGGAGACTGGACACTCTCCAACACTCAGAGGACAATCGTGGGGCATGTGTGTCCACCGGCTATGCTGGGGTGGGACTTGCCTTAGGCCCGATGAGTCCACGTGCTCCCAGAGCGCCTGCTGAGCCCTTGTCACCAGGATCTCCCTTGGCACCCTGGGGGAGTGACCAGGAGAGGGACACAATCAGGACCAGACCAGATTGGGAGACTGGAGTCTGACTGGATCCTGCTAGCCAGGCAGAGTTCACACCCTACCCCCGGCCCACCCCAGTGACTCCTGCCTTCCAGGCTGTGCCGTGGCAGGGCGAAGCTGGGACTTGTTCTGTGGAGTGGTTCATTTCTCACCCCAAGACACCCCCAGATTCGTGCCCCTCCCTCCCACCGTTGTGCTCCTAACCCTACCTGGAGTACCCCTAATATCCATGGAGCCCCCTTTTTATTTACACAGGGCCTCTCATAGACGCACAGTCCACAGGGCTCCCCTCCTGACTGCAAATTAAGGCCCTTGAGCTCTCCGCAGAGCCTCATCCTCTCAGCCACCCTGTAGAGCTCCACAGCCTGCCGGGTGCCCTCTCCCTTTGACCCCGAGAAAGTCCCCCTCCCTTCCTCCTCTGCTGTCCTCACAAACCCTCCAGAGAGCCCCATAGTCTACAGGACCTCCCTCCTGACCCCACATAGAGGATCCCGCTCTTCCCCATACCTTTTCTCCAGGGTCACCACTCTCTCCCCGAGGTCCTTTGTCTCCATCTGTGCCCCGAGGCCCTCGTTCACCCTGGGTCAGGGTCAGAAGTCAGGGTCAGGGGCTGCCAGCTCCTCACTCTCTGAGATTTGAGCTCTCAGATCTTCTGACCCAGCCCCTCAGAAGCCCCTCATGTACCCAAGGGGGACCCGGTCTACACATGGATCAGACCCACTCACCATGTCCCCCTTGGCACCCTGTGGCCCCGGAGGCCCCAAAATCACGGCTGAGTCACCCTAAGTGGATAAGGGGCAGTCAGAGGAATCAGGAGCACCTTCACTCCTCCACCTCTGCCCTCCCCCCATGCCCACACTCACCTTGTCACCCTTTTGCCCCGCAGTTCCAGCATCACCCTGTTGGGCAGAAGAGTGTGAGTCTCACCCAGATGAAGTTTTGTTTTTTTTTTTTTTTGAAGACTACGAAAGTCTTTTTATTTTTTCATGTAATGATGTAAAACATAAATGTTGTCTTGGCATATAATCACATATAATCTTTCCTCTCACTTGGCAACCAGCAGATTGGGGAATTCAGAGAACTGCTATAACTCCCTATGGAGCATAGTATATTAGTATTCCAGAAGTTTATTCCAGCCCACTCTCCCTTTATACTCCAAAACATCTTCATTGTGGTGTTTGATAAGACAGAGCCACAAGAAAACGGAGGTGCCCAAGGTCACTCCAACTTTCAGCCAGCTTGGTTTGTGCAGAGAACTTTAATAAGGGAGGCTGAGCAGGGCCAGCAGCCCGGAATAGGGGTGCAACCCTGCAGAGGAGACCCAAATTCTGAATTACAAGATCCATCCCCACCCCGACTCAACCCCAATTTCCCCCACGTCCTTACCTTTTCCCCATGCTCCCCACGGCTGCCTGGAGGCCCCTGGAGGAGAAGAAGACTATCAGCTAAGGGAACTGGGGGGTTCATGGGGCAGCTTAGGGGGTAGGGGAGGACTAGAGGGCTTCCAGAGTATAGGGGAGACAAGGGACCAAGAGTAAACCAGGAGAAGCAGAGGACCAGAGGGCTGCAGAGAGTGTCCTGGGAGCACAGAACTCACGGGCAACGGACTAAAGTCCCACCACGGGTGCTTTTCCCAAGGGGACTCACCATGAGTCCTCGGGGTCCCTCCTGTCCTGGGCGACCATCTTCACCCTGGATGGTGACATTAAGATCATTGACTCAGAAGTTGGAAATCAGAGGTGTGATGAAGTGGTCACACCGGTCACGGGCTGTGGCTGCAGAACAGGACGTACATACCCGGGCACCTGGCTCCCCACGCTCGCCTCGGGCCCCCGGCACCCCTGCTCCGGGGTCCCCCTGGAGATCAAAAGGACACCGAGGATAAGCGAGGGTAATCAGAGGGGGTCAGAGGATCACAGGAGGCTAGTGAAGATAGGAAGGGTGACAGGGGCCAGTGGGGGCTGGAAGGGGTAACAGGGGTACAGGAAAGAGTCAGCAGTATTATCCCATCTACCTTGTCTCCTTTGAGTCCAGAGGTCCCAGGGGCTCCCTGTGGACAGAGTGAAATGAGGGTCCTGTGACTCAAAAAGGCACCCCCCTCCAGTCATGCAGTGTGGCAGAGTCCCCAGAGTAAGTCTCCCCGTGGACAGACCCCAGGCACAGGGACCGTGTGGGTGCTAGGGCACTTCTACTCACCACTGACCCTGGTGGTCCAGGCGGCCCCAAGGGGCCTGGGGCTCCTTCTCTCCCTGGGAGGCCTGCCAGACCCTACCAAAAATTAAGACAAAAAAAGCAGAGCATAACTTGAGAAACTTCCTCCCCTCTGCCCTCCCCAAGATTGGGATGCCCCAAGGTTGGACCCAGGCCCCATCTCTGCCTCACCCACTACCAGATTCAAGGTGCTGAAGTCACCAAGTCCCTTCAGGCTGTTCCCAGCACCCTTACCCGCTCTCCAGTGGGGCCTGGCTGACCCGTCTCTCCTCGAGGGCCTGTCTGACCAGGAAATCCAACAACACCAGGAGCACCAGGTTGTCCAGGGGGGCCCAAGTCTCCCTGGTGCAGAGACAGCAAAGGGAGGCACGACCCCAACACGACTCCTTCTCAGGACTGGTCCACAATACCCTCTTCTTCCCGCTGCCAGGCCCCCTCCCCCCCCCCGCTGCCCCCACCACTGTGATGGGCATCAACTCACCTTCAGACCTGGAGGACCAGTTGGACCAGGGGGACCCTGGATCCCAGCTCCTGGGTCACCCTTCAAGGAGAGAGGGGTCATATGAGGCTCAGGGAGTCTCAGGACCATGACTCCCAGCAGAACATTTTGGAGCACACGTACCTTGTTACCCTTGAGTCCTGGAGCCCCTTTCTGACCCTAAAAAATAAAGTAAGCAGAACTTACGAGGGTGGGAACACAAACTCAGAACATAGGGACAGCCCAAAAATATTCCCAGGGGAGCTCAGATGTGATCACAGACACATGGGAACTCAGGCATGTGAGCAAGCCGAGGCTCACGGGAGCGCAGAGGCGACCACACACTCCCGAGAGCACAGAGGAGGTGACCACAGACACGTGGGACTCACACATGAGCACAGACTCAAGGCACGACAGATGTGAGCACAGATGCGTGGGAGCTCAGGCAGGAGCAGGAACCCTGACACATCCCATTCCAGGTTGCTGAGATGCGCACCCAGACATGAACTAGACACCCGGGGCGCAGGCCGGAGGAGGAAAGGGGCAGCATGGACACATGACCAAGGAGAGGCCCACAGAACTCCAAAGGGCACCGAGGCCGGGAGGTGAGACATGGTGAGGAACACGTGACCTGGGAGCGGCACGTGGGAGCAAAGACAGGGAGCCAGAGGCCTGCGAGTATGGAAGCGAAGAGCTCATGACCCCTGCCTGTTCCCCAGAGCAGGACCTGAATGCTAGCCTGTGGTGGGGCTGGGCTCGGGCTAGGGCTCAGGTCTCTGCACAGGCCCAGGCACGGTCCGTGTCCACAACTGCACTCCCCAGCCCAGGCTCAGACCTTGCCCAGGCCCCAGACTCACATCTTCCCCAGGATCTCCAGACTCCCCTGCACGGCCAGCTTCGCCCTACACAGAAAGGGTGGTGAAGGGGCTGGACCCCAGCCTTACCCCTCCCTGCCCCATGCTCAGGTCCTAGTGGCGGGTCCACCTCACCTTCTCACCGCGTGGCCCCGGCAGTCCTCGGTCACCTTTGGCTCCCTGTAGAGACGGGGCAGGAGGTAATATGGGTGTCAGCGTCACAAGCAGAGGAGACTCAAGGAGGGAGGCATGAGGCCCAGTGGGGGGCATACTGTGGAAGCTGAGGGTCACGAGGGTGGGTAAGCTATGCTGTCTGGGGCGCCATACTCACCGGCTCTCCCACCAGGTCTCCAGCAAAGCCTCCAGGGGCTCCCTGATAAGAGAGAAGGATGAGTGGGATTCCTTGGTTCCCCCCACTCAGCTCCTCCCCCCAGGCCTCCCACACTCACCTTCTCTCCTTTTGCTCCAGGGGGGCCGACTGCAGCCTGCGGGGAATGCCTGCTGAGTTACCTTGTTTCCTCCCTTTGCCCCACCCCCACCCAAAACTTGGGGAGAGGGGACAGGGAAGCTGGTAGAAAGGATGGGTTTCAAGGTTAAAGATCACCTGTCCAGGGGCCCCCATGGGTCCAGGCTCTCCTTTAGGTCCGACAGGGCCGGGCAGACCTGGTGACCCCTATGGCAGAGCAGCATGAGAAGCTGCTTCTCTCCTACCCTGCCCTCCTGCCCACCCTTCACCCTCCAGGCACACAACTGGGCACAGGGGCCCATGCAGGCCTGCAGCAAGCTCCCCCCAGCACATACCGGCACACCAGGGGCTCCTCTGTCTCCATCTTTACCACTGGCACCATCACGACCTGGGACTCCTGGCTTCCCTGTCTCCCCCTGAGAGGGAGGAGCTGTCAGGGACCTGTCCACTCAGCCCCTGGTCCCTGGAGCCCAGCCCTGATCCCCAAGACTCACCACTTGTCCAGGCAAGCCCGGTGGCCCCTGAGGACCCTGAGGAAGACAAGTCAGATGTAAGGAGGGACATAAGACATGAGACTAGGACTTGGGAGAACATGGGACCCAGAAGGCAGGTGCATGGCAGGGCTCACTCACCACAAGGCCTGAAGAGCCAGGGGGGCCGGGAAGCCCCACAGCTCCAGTGGGTCCAGGGAGACCCTGAGGGAAGAAAAAGTTCAGGGAGATGCCAAGCCCACCCCACTCCCTTGGAGTCTAACCCATGAGCTGGGCCACTCACCCGGCCTGGTGGTCCTGTCTCTCCAGGCTCTCCCTGCCAAAAACCGAGATCGTGTGACTCCACAGGTGGATGAGAAGCTCCTCAGCCCCAGTCCACAAGCAGAGCCCCCATGGACCAGGTGCCTTGGTGCTCAGCCTCACTGCAGGGCAGTGACACCCCAGAAAACTGACAAGTGTTAACCTGATGCAGATGCGGCTTGAAGGAGCCTCCTTCCAGCCACATACCTGGGCACAGCCATACTCACCTTCAGGCCAGAAGGTCCCTGGGGTCCTGCAGGGCCAGCAAGGCCCTAGAGAAAATTGTCAAAGGGTGAGAATTATCCACCTGCTCAGAAATTAACACACATATGGCCTGGTTCATCAGTAGGGACCAATGCCTGTTCCACCCCCACCAGACAGTGCCTCCCATCACTCACCGGGGCACCAGATGGTCCTGGGTCTCCATGGCCACCCTATTAAAGAGAGAAAATCTGAGGCGGGAGAGCCAGTACGATGGGGAAACTGAGGCAGTAGCACCCATTGTGGAGATTGGGCACATGATGGAGGCAGGAGGAATGGGGTACTCACCGCTGGGCCAGGAGCCCCCCTAGGACCTTGTTGACCCTGAATGAAGAAAGAAACTGCTGAGCCTCAGTCTGGGCCTCCTCACTTGAGCCTGTTCCCACCCTCTGGAGCCTTTCCCTGGGGGGCCCGCCCATCTCAGGCACAGATTAATCCATACCCAGGGCTGTCCCTCATGAATTCAGATAGGTGCACTCACACGTGCGTGCGTGCTCACACACACACACACACACACACGCCACCTTTCACAGACGTCACACATCTGCACTCACACCTGCACACAGGCACAGCACCTCATCTCTGGTGACACACGCAGATGGCAGTCAGCACACAGCAGGGGTGGGGGGCTTGCATGTTCCAGAAGAGCCTGAGCCGGGATGTTTCTACCGCCACTCACCGGCTTTCCTTCAGGCCCAGCCACACCGCGCTCTCCTGGTAGACCCTGAAGAGAGCAGGTTTAAGGCCACACTGCCCTTGTTGCCCCATCCCAGCTCCCCCTAGACAGCCCAGGCAGTGCAGACTGCAGTCCCGCATGCAGGACAACACAAGGGCGAGGCGTGTGCTGGCGTGTGCACAGCATGGCATGCATGGGACAAAGACTCACCGGGCTGCCATCATGCCCCCTCTTTCCAGGCTCTCCCTGGTCTCCTTTGAGGCCTGGCATACCCTGCAAGCAAATGTCATGCCTTGAATCCCCAATCATTGCCCTGCACCCACATACATACACCCCCAGTATGCCCCCATAGAGGGGGGCAGACATGGCATGGGAGTCCTCACCCTGTCTCCTTTGGGGCCTTGATCACCTTCACTGCCTGGCTCCCCCTGTGGGGATGATATGTCAAGTCAGGTTCTGGTGCCATGCAGGGAGCAACTCCCAAGTTGATCCCACACACTGACCTTAGCACCCTTGAGTCCAGGAGGTCCTTGCTCTCTAGGGAATCCAACACCTGGCTCATCCACAGTCACCTACAAGCACAAGGTCCCGGGGGACAGATGTGTCTGTCACAGAGGCAGGGGGTCATCACAGACCATAAGGTCCCAGAGGGTTATACACTCAGAGACACCAGAAGGAGTTTCTGGGACCCAAGCTAATATTGGCCGCCTGGTGACAGCAGACACAGCCTAGGACAAAGCTGGGGTGATCACCTTGGGGCCAGGGGGGCCGGGAGGTCCAGGGAGGCCAGGAGAGCCGTCTCTGCCCTGCAGAAAAGAAGGCCATGGGGTGGCTGCCCCAGTGCAGCCTCCAGGCAGTCCCACCCTATGAAGCCCAGCACAGCTCACCTGTTCTCCTCGGTCTCCTTTCTCACCCCGTTCTCCCTGAAGTGCAAATAGCAAGATGAGGTCTATGTGCAGGTGGCATCCAGCTTTTCCTGGCCCCACTTCCCGGCGGCCCTCCCAGCCAGCCCCCAAGCTCACCCTCTCTCCTGGCCTTCCTGCCTCCCCCACACCGCCAGCCCGGCCTGGGAGCCCAGGAATACCAGGCTTTCCAGGCTCCCCGGCAAGGCCGGGTGGTCCAGGAGGGCCCCTCTCCCCAAGAGCCAGTCCAGGTGGCCCCTGAGGGCCAGGATCTCCGCGTTCTCCCTTCGGCCCACGTTCTCCGGAAAAGCCAAGGGGACCCTGGAGGAGCAGAAGAGTGAATGCTGGTGGCTGTATAACTGCACAGACACCCCCAGCGCGCAGCCAATACGCACCTCTTTGCCTGGGGGGCCCCGCTCTCCCGGGTCCCCCTTGGGGCCACGCCGCCGTTCGGGCACAGGCAGGAAGACGCCAGAGCTCTCATCCCAGGTCTCCACGATCTCACGCAGGGCAGAGGCCTGAGGGGTGGGAGTAGCAGGGCCCGTTACAGCAGCCCCCTCATGCCCTGGCTCTGCCCTATGGGCAATAATTGCTGCAGGGGCCCCCACCAGCCTCCAAACCCAGTTCCCAAACAGCTTACCTTGATGCCAATGTTTTCCAGCAACCGCTCCACATTCTGAGAACACAAGCTCAGTAAGGGGCTGCCCAAGGAGGAAAATCCCCTGCCTCTGCCCAGAAACAGCCTCCATGCCCTCTTCCCCAGGACTCTTGCCCAGAGGACCCTCGGGTGAGGTTGCTGGAGGCCTCTGGAGCCCCTCCCTGGCATGTCCCGGTGCCCAGTTTGCCCTGAGTGCAGGTTCCAACAATCCCAAAGGGCAGGGGATGGAGCACCCAGGGCAGAATGGTGGGGCCTCATGGCAAGAGGAAGGGGATCAGAGTCAGGTCCCAGCCTCACTCACCCCCACAGTCCCAGGTTCTCCCCTCAGGCCACGCTCTCCGGGGAGGCCCTAGAAACACAAGAAACAAGCTGCTGGACCCCATTTGTGGGGTGGGGTGGCGTATATGTGTGTGTGTGTGTGTGTGTGTATGTGGTTGCTATGGCTACCGGGCATGCGAAAAATGTGGGGGTCTCACCTGTTCTCCTTTGAGTCCACTCTCCCCACGGTCACCCTGTGATAAAGAATGACCAGGTGGGGTAAATGCTCCCAACCCTGGTCGGCCCTTCACCATACCCCCCTTCACCATACACAACACATGCACACTCACCTTGGGGCCTGTGCTTCCTGGAACACCAGGAAAACCCTAAGATATGGCAGAATACAAAGGGGTCACACAAGATCATGGAGTCCCAAGAGTGTCTGGTGGTAGCAGACAGGGCCCTGTTGCTCCCAGAACTGCCCAGGACACTCACCTGGCCAGGAGGGCCAACCTGCCCTGGGAGGCCTGGCGGACCTTGAAGTCCAGGGCTACCAGGAGTTCCACGCTCACCCTTAGGTCCATCGTGACCCTGAGGAGGAAGCATCCAGCATCAGGACCCTGAGACCCCAGAAGGGTGGAATCATACAGCACAGGGTGAGGGTCAGGGTGGGGGTGGGGGGCAGAGATTGCGTAAGACTCTAGCACTCACTTCTCTCCCAGGGGGGCCGGAATCTCCCTTCTCTCCCTGAGGAAGACAGTTGCTTCAGACAGGGCTCCAGTCTGAGGCCAGAGCAGACTCCAAGAGAGGAACTTTACCTTTCTCCCGACTTCTCCAGGGTCCCCAGGTTCTCCCTGCGGGCAGAGGACTCATATCAGCCCAGCACCTGGCTGCAAGACACTGTCTTGGCAGATCTCAGGGGACGGTGTCTGTGCCTGTAGTCCCAAGCCTCTGCTGTCTCAGAGCGCGGCCTGTGACTATCTGAGTGAGCCGTTGCGCATGGGAGGGCCTGCCTGTGTGGTCTGCTCACCTTCATAACTGACTGTCCATGTCCTATTTCTTTTAACTTTCTAGATAGAACCCCACACAATTGCATCTATTTCTGGGTGGGTGAGTGTCCACATGTCCCGGGTGTGTGTCTGCATGGCCCTGTGGGTCTCTGTGCCCTGGGAGGTAACACCGAGTAGGTGTCTCAGGCTGCTTGCATTATCTTAGCCCATGTATGCACATGGGCCGAGCTTATCTGTGTGTACGCAGGAGGAACATGTGTGTGCCTATCCCTGGTATCTTGAGAATTGTCTATATATCTTGGGATCTGTCTGCAAGTCTTGCGAGTATCTCAACTCGTGTGATCAGATGTGAGTGAGTGGCTATGAATGCACATGTCACCTGTGGGAGTCACAGATGTGCGTCTCACTACATCTCAACACAGATCTGCTTGTGTGCCTGGGCCTGTGTCTTAGCATCTATTTGCGTCAGTGTCAACATGTCTCCAAGTGTCCCTGAATGTGATTTCAGACCAGTGTGTCTGCACTGCTCCACCTGTGTCTGGCTCTTTGCTTGTGCCCGGGACTTTGGGCAATCTCGGCAGGTATCGGTCCGTCCAGGCACAAGTCATCATGTCCACCGAGTTGGTTAACTCGCTGTGTCTGCAAGGCTGCCTCTGTGTGTACATGGATGCGTGTTTTGGGATGTTCCCATGTGCCTGGGTATCTCTGGGTATCGCTGTGTGTACCCTGGATACTCACATTTTTCCCGTTCAGGCCAGGTTTGCCATCCTCGCCTGACTTTCCCTGTGGAAACAGATCATTAGGCAGAAGTCAGGGCTGGGGTGAGGGTAGAAAGGGGACAAAGTGGTAGCATGAAAACCTGAACTCACCGGTGCTCCAGGGGGTCCAGGGGGGCCATGTTCTCCTCGGAGGCCTGGAAGCCCCTGGAAAAAGTCTTTGCTAGCATTGAGAGAGCCCCTGAGATATTCTCTGGGGCACACTCCAGACAGGGAGGACCCCACTAAGATCCTCTTCCAGTGACACCCAGAATTTGATGTCCCATTGAGATCTATGTCTGAGGCAAAGACCCCATGAGTTGGGGGGTCCCTAGTGAAATTCAAGGTTAAAAAAAAAACAGGACATTGAGGGGCCTCAGGCCCCAAGGTAGAGAAGTTCAGAAAGTGGGACTCTGCTAAAATTTGCCTACCAGGAACTGGGGCCCCACCCAAGGACAAGGCCAGACCAACACCCATTTTGGCTAATGCTATAATAATAACAAGCTGGCTGCAAATTTATATAGGACCCCTCAGCCACCCCCTCCGCCCTAACATTTCCCCTCACTTACATCTCTCCCCGGGTCCCCGGCTTTGCCTGTAGCACCCTAAGGAAAAACTCAAAGTCAGGGAGTCCGTAGTGGTCATGGGGTCAGGGCGACGAGTTCTTATGAACTAAAGGCCTGCTTGGCTGTAACATCCCCCACCCCAGCAGGGCTCTAGACTCAGCGTACCCAGCTGGCCCTACAGCTCATCATGACCAAGATGACCCAGGTGAGGCTGCGGCATGTTTAGGGGCCAGGGAAGAGTGCCACTAAGCAGTGACCACCATGACTCACGTGCAGCCCTGGGGGGCCAGGGGCTCCAGGTTTCCCATCCAATCCACTCCGGCCATCCAGCCCAGGGGGGCCCCGATCACCCTGAGGAAAACAGAGTGGTAAGGGGCCTCAACGGATGAGATGGAGAGCTAAGAATCCAGGTTCACAGTGAAAAACCTCCGTGCTCACTCACCTTCTCTCCTGCAGGGCCTCGGACCCCTGGGTCTCCCTGGAGAGCAGGACAAAGGTCAGATGAGAGATCAGAACAAGATGGGGCCTTAGACTGATGGGGCATTGTGTAGAACTCACCTGAGGGCCTGAGGGCCCCCGAAGTCCATCAATACCCTAAGGACAGAGGGAGGAAGAAATCAGAGCAGGCCCTCCAGCCCCAGACCTCCCCATGGGACCAACCACACTCACCCTCTCCCCAGAGGCTCCAGGGGGGCCGGGGTCGCCCTTGGGTCCTCGAGGACCCTCTTGTCCACGGTCCCCAGGCTCTCCCTGTGGCAGAGACAGGCATGTTAAGGGAACAGCGCTAGGGCCACAGACAGACCTGTCACGGGGCCAGGATGCTTTCATAGGCTCACAGTGTCACCCCACCCACAGACCCTGATACCTTCTCTCCAGCTCCAGGCCCCGTGTCCGCCTGTGGGAGGAATGACTGATGAAGAGAATGGTTCAACAGGGCAGGTAGAGGTGGTGAGGGGGCTTGTGAAGGGCTGTGGGATCAGTGAAGTTATCAAGGGGTGGGGGAAAGGAGTCTATGGATGGGATGAGGGGACACAGGGTGGAGTCAACAGGCAGGTGAGGGAGAGGACAGAGGGCCAGGTCCAGCTCAGCCCTTACCAGCCTTCCAGGGGCTCCTGGGGGACCCTGGGAATGGAAATCGTTATAGTCACCAGGAGCCCTGAGGTCCCAGAGCACAGCTTAGGTTTGCCCAGGCTCAACTCTGACCCCGAGTTCCCTGCAGTTCACCAACGCCAATCCCCAGGGGGCAGGGCAGGCCTGGAAGTGGCCACCACCTGACCTCTAGGCCCCTTATGTGGGCACTGACCAGAACGAGCACCTCCAAGTCCCCGAGCCCAGAACACCAGCAATACTCACTGGCTCCCCACGGTCACCCTTGGGTCCAGATGGTCCAGGGCTGCCCTGCAGAAAGTCAGGGAGTCGGGTTACTCAGGATAACTAGACACTTTGAGGGATTTTAGAAACATCCTAAGGACTCATAGGGCTCCTGGTGAATTTTTGGGGGCTGTGATGAAGGGGGCCATAGGAAATGAGGATTCTGAGGGTTTAGATTGTAGCAATGGGTGGCAGGATTGAGTGTTAGGAATTGAATGGCTGGGGGTGGGGGGCTGCAGTGGGGTTGCAGTCAAAGGCCAGAGGTTAGGGCTTACATTTCGTCCATCCTCTCCAGGATCTCCCTGGTCTCCCTTCTCACCCACAGGTCCCCGAGCTCCAGGTAGCCCCTGAGAAGAGCAGCAAGTCTGAGACAGACCCTCCCAACATTTTGCAGTTTCCTCCACAACCCCCCATACTTCCCAGGCTCCCCATCACCCTGAAAACCACACTAGACTTGCCTATCACCCCATGCCTTTCTCCAGACTCATTGCCCATTATCCCCCTCAGAGCTTCTTGTCCCTTCGTGCCCACCTCCGAACAGTTCTCCCCGCCCCTGGCTTCTCCCAAGCCTCACCCGAAGGCCACGCTCGCCAGCTTTTCCAGGCAAACCTGGGTCACCCTGGTGATGGAGAGAAAGCCACACACACAGGCGAGTTAGGCTCAAGCCAACTCAGGGAATGGGGAGAGAGAAGGGCGGAGCACCAGCTGGAAGGCAGGCAGGGCTGGTCTGGTGACCTGCAGAGCCCCCAGCCCCCGGGGATTACAGTTCAAGCAGAAATCACAGTGGGTAGGAGTCTTACCGGGGGACCCTCATCGCCTTTCTCCCCAGCTTCACCCTGTGAGACATGAGAGTCAGCCCTGATCCCAAGCCCTGTCAGAGATGCTGACAATGCACCAGCTCCCTTGTGTCCCAGGACTCCCCCAATTCAGTCTCCTTACATCTCGTCCTCGAGGGCCAACAGGTCCTGGGGAGCCAGGCCGCCCAGGGTCTCCCTTTTCTCCAGGAGGCCCCGAGTCACCCTGTGGAGGAGGCAAGAGTGAGGTTGAACATAGCAGCCAGTGACCCCGGAAATGCTGAATTTACCTAAGCTTCCAGGTACTCACTGGAGGTCCAGCTCTGCCGGTGAGGCCAAGGGGACCCTGTGGGGTTGGGGAAGGGGGATAAGACTTAGCTGGAGCTCCCAGACACCACCTCATCTCCCTCTGTCACATTCCCCATCCCCACATTTCTTCACCCGGTCTCCAGGGTCTCCTTTGGGGCCAGGGTCTCCAGGAAGAGTCAACCCAGGTAGGCCCTATGGGGGAAAGTATCAGCAGTCAGGGGGGTACAACCTTCATCTGCTCTACCCCCTAAACCTTTCCCCTTCACTCACCCGCTCCCCTTTGACTCCAGTAGCTCCTCTGGGCCCAGTGAGCCCAACATCTCCCTGGATGTAGAAAAGATTGTCAGCACCATCCCCAGGGTCTATGACTCCCATGACCCCCCATGACCCAGCTATCAAGCCACAACTCTCACAACCTTCAGTGTAGGGCCAAAGGCAGGTCCTGTGACCTTGACCTCCCCCTGTAACCGCCTCCTCTCACTCATGCCAGACTTACCTTTTCTCCCTTGGCTCCTGTACCATTAGGTCCCTGAAAACAAACAGGACAGGCACAGCTTGACCCCACCTGGGGTCATAATACCACAGCTCAGTTGGGATCTCGTGGGGGAGGGGGAGTGGATATAGAACTAGAAGGTGCAGAGCTCAGTCTCTGCCCAGAGGTCACAGGCTCCCCACTGAGCAGGGCAGAGGACACAGAGCTCACAGCCAGAATGGGGGTCATAGGGCCACAGGTTCACAGCCGAGTCAGGAGGCGGAGAGCTACAGAGTTCCAAGGCTGCCCAGGGTCCCAAGGTTACAGGGTCATGGCCTGGGACACTGGTTTACAGGCGGGTCACTGCTCAAGGTCTGTGCTGTGTTCAGAGCCCTCCTTCACTCACCACCACTGCAGGGTGCCCAGGGAGACCAGGCTCCCCCTGTGGAGAAAAGACGGAGGCAGGAATGGGATCCAAGGCCCCAGTGTCCCCCTGTGCTACCAGAGGGAACTGGCTCCCCATCCGTGACACACCTTCTCTCCTCGGCGACCAGGGGATCCTGGTGGTCCCTGCATGTGGAGAAAGCATGAGCCCAGGAGGGGAGGAGCACATGAAAGCCCCACTCCTGGTCCCACCACAGTCACAGACTCACCTCAGGACCCTCAGCTCCAGGACGTCCAGCAACTCCTGGAAGCCCCTGGGGAAGAGGAGCAAGAAATGTTGAGCCGGGTGGATGGGGGCAGGGTGATTATGGCAAACGAGGGCTGGAGGTTGGGGATGTGGGCTGGAGAGGCATCATGGAAATCAGGCAGGAGACAAACACCCCAGGCAGCAGTCAGTCCCCACAGGAAGTTAAGGTGAGTTCAGCAGAAATTCAAAGTGGGCCCTACCCACTTTTTTTTTTTTTTTTTAAGATTTTATTTATTTATTTATTTATTTTATTTATACAAGCACTGGGTACAGTCAGAAGTGCAGGAGGGTGAGAGAATTCACCAGAGCCAGAGCGGGGAGCAGAGCAGGCAGAAGGACCGAAGTACACTGCTGAGGGGAGCAGCGGGCGGCAGGAGAGGTCTGCGCGCCATGTGGGACCCTCCTCCGGTGGCCGGGGAGCAGCCGGGATCGAACCGGCGCTGCAGAGGCTGCGGGCAGCTTCGCAACCCAGCGCTCAACCGCTGCGCCACCGGGGAGGCCCCGGCCCTACCCACTTTTGGGGTTAAGCGTTAGTTCCTGCAAGTGAAGAGGAGTGGAAAGACAGGGCAGTGGGGGTCAAGGGTGAGAGCTCAAAACCAGGAGGGGGCAATGAGCCCAGTCAGCTGGCATTACCACCATCGGGGGCTTACCTGGGGTCCCACCGGGCCAGGAGATCCACGTTCACCCTGGTGGAAGAGCGTCAGAACTGAGTCTTGCTCCAGACTCTCCAGGACCCTGAGAGGCCCCCAGGCCACACTCACCTTCTCTCCAGTTTCACCCGCAGCCCCTGTCTGTCCCCGTTCACCCTGAGGGGAGAGTTAGGAGAGGAACCTTGACCACTGAATTCCAGACAAGGTGTTTCAACATCTCATCATCCCTCCTCTGAAACCACAGCCTCTGTCATAGCCTGACCCTCCCAGCTCCCCTCGTCCTATAGGGGATTAGGACTCCTCCTAATACCTAATACCTCCACGTCCACCATATCTACTCCCCAAATGGCACTTACTTTGGTGCCAACATCTCCAGGAGGTCCTCGTAGACCCTAGAAGGGATGAATTTGGGAGTTCAGAGATTTGAGTTTGGGCATGATGATGAAGGTGACCATTGGGGCTGGAATTATGCCCATCATACTCAACCCCTAGCCCCGACACTCACCCGCTCACCCGGAATCCCAGGTTGTCCCGGGAGGCCTGGGGCTCCATCCTCACAGTCACCCTGAAGGAGACTCAGATTAGTAGAAGACCTAGGGGGAGCTCCACCCTGCCACCCAGCACTCAGCCCCACCCCACATTGGGACACCAAAATATCAGGTCTCCTACTTTTTCTCCTTTCTTTCCAGAGGGGCCAATTGGGCCTTGGGGTCCAGGGCTTCCAGGAAGACCCTAGGAGAAAGTAAGAAAAATGTGAAACCCAAACTGAGGCACAGTACCCACCCTCTGACATAGCTGAACCCCCAGCCCTTCCATTCACAACCCTCATAGTCCCCAGAAGAGCATGGAGTCTCCCTACCGGCAGCCCAGGCTCGCCTGGAGTGGTGCCACCAACACCAGGTCCCGGGGGGCCCTGAGAGAGAACAGCAGGTCAGGGGATGGCTAGAGGGAGGTCAGACTTCAAGCCACCACCAGCGTACCTTGCCCCTCACTTACCCGTTCCCCACGATCTCCTTTGTCACCCTGGAAGACAGATCATGATCATGACCCTGGACCAGACCACTCCTCAGGATAGCAGGAGGAATGAGGGTCATGACGTTAAAATGGATTATAAGGCTCATGAGGAACTGAGGCGTCATGCGGGGTCAAGGAGTCCCACGGCTCACAGAGACCAGTAGGGGCTGTGTGGGCTCCAGTGGGGTTGCTACGTCACAGATCACATGAAGGCTATGAGACTGTAGGGGGAGGTTGGGGGGGTGTCATACTGTTACCTTCACAGCTGTTCCAGGAAGTCCTGGGGGGCCACGGGGTCCTGGGTCCCCCAGTGGGCCACGAGATCCTGGGGGGCCCTGATAGAGATGATCAAGTATAAAGCACAACCCGACAGACCCCTACTCTCATCCCCCTTCTAATGGTCCCCCCACCCCACACCACTTGTCCCCACACATCCCAGAACTTACCGGGGGTCCAGGGTCCCCTTTTCGCCCAGGAAGAGCAGGGCCCTGGCCTTCACCAGCTTGTCCAGGCTCTCCCTGCAGCAGGCAGGATAAGAGGTGGGAGAAGGTACTAGAGGTGCCCCAATCATGTCTTATCACAGCTCAGACCCTGCACAGTGTCAGGTCTGGGCAACCCTGCTCCTCCCTGGGACCTCCCTTCACCCTTCACCTACCGGCTCCCCCTTCGGGCCTCGAGGCCCTCTTTCTCCCTGAGGACAAAACAGAGAAAAGAGTGATGCCTGCGCTAGGGAGGGTCTCGGGGTGGGCCTTGGGACAGTATTCCCCCACTACCCTAGGCTCCCCACCCAACAGAAAGAACTTTGAAGACACTGGGGGAGCAAAAAGGAAAGCAACTTACAGGTTCTCCAGGAGGGCCGGGCCACCCAGGGGAGCCCTGTAGATGGAGGCCCAAGTCAGGAGAGTGAGACCACCCTGCCTCCTCAGCAAACTACTCCACCCTGTGACTTGCAAGGACAAGGCTCACTCACCTTTGGCCCAGGAGTTCCGGGAGTCCCAGGGCGGCCAGGGCTGCCTGGTGGCCCATCTGCCCCAGGGAAGCCCTAAGAAGACAAAGAAATCAGGCCAGAAAGGGGCTCTCCCTTGGGGTCCCAGGTTTGGACTCCTCACCACCCGGGCCCTGAGTGTTGCTGGGGCCACGGAACAGAAAGTAGCCCCTCTGAGTTGAACAGAGCCCTAATCCAGGCACAGGGGCAGAGCTGAGGCAGGAGGCCTTCCCTGCCTCCAGGATTTAGAACTTCCACCCACCCAGGCCTCCAGGGAACCTCAGAACCCCATTCTTCTCCCCACCCTTCCCCAAAGTCTCTAGTGTGGCTTATAATATCCACTTAGGCTTCAAGAAATACCCTGTGTTTCCAACTCGGTCTTTTCCTTCTCTTCTCTTCCTGTCTCTTCCAAAAATCCCAAGGAAACTTGGAAGAAACGTCTTAGGGGAACCTCAAAGGTCCCCACACTTACCCTCTCGCCCTTTGCAGTGGCACTTCCAGGGGGCCCTTGGGGGCCAGGAGCACCAACCCTGCCCTGGGAGGAGATAGCAGGTAAGGAGGCAGTAAGCCAGCCAGGGCACAGAGGTCAGGGGTAGGGAGGTACTCACCGGGAGGCCAGGGGGCCCGGGAGGTCCGCCTTGTCCTTTGGGGCCCTAGGAAGGGTAATCAGTGAGTCCTATGGTACAGCCTCCCCTGACCCCTTGATCCCCAGCCAATTCTCTACCTGCCACCAGGGCCACTCACCATCTCTCCAGGCTCCCCCTTCTGGCCCTGAGGAAAGACATGTGGGATTAGAATCAGGGCGGCAGCCCCAGGTAAGGCCTCACCCACACTCTCAACCCTAGACACTTACCTTTGGACAATGCACCGTGCAAGGTTCTGGTTGTGGCTGTGGACATAGGGTTTCCTTGAGGTCAAGCAGTTCTCCTAAGATCTCCCACATACCCTCTTCTCTACCACCTAGTCCCCAGGAGACCTCTTCCAAACCTGGGTAGTCAAAGCTATCTGACAAAGGGCTGTTGCCAGTCCACCAACTGCCCGATCCAAGCTTGGACCATCATCCACAGCGAAGAAGGTCTGGACAGAGTCCATGCCCGGCACCAATCGACGCAGCTGCTCTGGGTCAGCTCCCGCCAGGCCCAACACCACCACTTTAAGCCCTAAGAAAGGGTCCAGAAGACTGTAGGACAACCCCACTGGGGCCAGTCCCTTTCTCCAGCCCAAGTCCCTCAGCCCTACTCCTCACCAGCAGCCTGGGCCTCACGGATAGGATTGAAGATGTCACCTCTCAAGGGCTCATCCACTAGCAGAACCATCACCCCTGGCACATGCCGGCGGCGTCCAGGAGCATCTGGTGCCAACAGGTGTCTGTGAGCCGTGACTATGGCTGCGCCTGAAAGGAAGGCAATGTCAGAACCCTGGGGCACCAAGCTCCCAAAAAGGCAACACCAAGAGCCCGCATCCACTGCAGTTCTCACCCAGGTTGTTCCCACTTGGGTCCACGTAAGGAATGTTACGGATCTTCTGCAGGATGACACCAGGGTCATGGGAGCTGTTCAGTGGGAACAGTGGGGAGGGCCGATGACTGTAGGACAGGAGGCCAACCTGGGGTGGGGGAGACACAGACCCTGGGGAGGATGACAAAGCAGCAAAAGTTGGGGGGGCGGACATAAAACCGAGAGAAGACATAGAGCCCAGAGGTGTGAAACTACACCTGCATATTAGGGGTTCAGCAGTGATGGCAGGCTAGGGAGCCAACCAGGAGGTGAGATCTGGAGCTGGGAAAGGGCTGGGAGAAAGCCTGGATGGATGTGACCCTGGGGTGGGGAAGGGCAGGAATAAGTAGGAGTCTAGATGCTTCTGGGCCAAACCTGGGCCGCATGTGGCCCAAGAGGCCCAAGTGCAGACACCAGACGTTCCAGGGCTCCCTTCACTGCCTCTGCACGGTGAGCATTATCTCGAGTGGTGTGCAGCAGGAACACCACATCCATCAGGCCCCGGGAACATGCTGCAGGAAGAGAGTGGAGCTCTGAAGTGTCAGCCCCTCCAACTACCCCACTTAGGTCCCTCTCACTGAGCCAAACATACCGACGGTATGTGTGACAGAGGCCTCAGGACCCTGCACACCCTCCCGGATGGGTGTCAGGGAAAAGACATAGGTGATGCCGGGCTCTAGCCTTGACACCTGCTGGGAGCTCGAGACCCCTGGCAGTGACTGTGTACCCCCAGGCATTTCTGCAAAAGACAGGTTCCCAAAATTAGTTAAGCAGGAGGCCCTCCATGAGCCCCAACTGCCAGCCCGCCCTAAACCTGGTCCCCTTTTCACCTTGGCTAGGACCTCTGAGTGGTCTCCAGGATAGGATGTAGCTGGATGCCCCAGACACTGGGGTCCAGGCCAAAGTCACCGAGTTAACTGAGGTGTCCACCACACGCAGTTCAGTGCTTGGGACACGAGGTGAATCTGAAGGAGAAATCAAAGACCGGGGATCAAAGGCTGTGTTCTGAGACCCAGAAGGGGAGAGAACTGAGGAGATCCTGGGGCAGAAGGAAGTATCAGAGGAGGTCATTCTGGGATCACCCCAGGGTGAGGAATGATAGGAGGTGTACACATGGAGTCATTCAGGGTCATGGGGTACAGGAAATCAGGGTGGGTCATCAGTGGTGGGAAGAGCACACCAGGGGAATATGGGATTTCTGGGCTTACCAGTGTATGCAACAACTTCTGTGGGGGGTCCTTCTCCAGTTGGCCCTAAGACACTCAACCACACGCGGTAGGGGGTCCCTGGCTCCAGCCCATCCAGTTCATAGCTGCTGAGCTCGCCGCCCAGGACCCGGGACTGCTCCTGACCACCTGGGGCAGGCATGAGGGTGGGAGGATGCTGCAGACCGGTATTAATGGACCCACCCACCTCTCTGCCATCTACCTTGCTTATTTTTTTTGAAGATTTATTTATTTATGCATACAAGAACTGGGGGACAGGCCAGAGGTGCAGGGGGTGAGAGGAGTCACAGAGACAGAGCCGGGAACAGAACAGGCAGACTGACTGAAATACACTGCTGAGGGGAGCAGCTGGGGAGACAGGTCTGCTGGGCCATGTGGGTAGCTCCCTGGCTGGCGGGGGATTGCTGCAGAGGCTGTGGATAGCTTTACAGTGCTGTGCTTAACCCCTTGGGCCAAAAGGGAGGCCCTATCTTGCTTAAGATGAACCCCCCACTGGACTCACTGACTGACCTTTCTAACAGGTTCACCCTCCTAATTGATCTACCCCTTTCTGGTTGACCCTGACCCACTGACCCTCATTGGTCCCACCCACCTCGTTGACTGATCCCTGCTGTGATCACAATCCCACAGACCCCTACTGACCGACCCTACCCACTCTCAGTGACCTGACCTACGGCCCCGCCCCATTGGTACCTAAGCCCCTACCGGGGGCACTTCTCACCTTCTGGTCGCCAACGCAGACGGAAGCCGTGTGCCCCGGGCACCGGCTGCCAGCGCAGCCTCAACGAATGTTCCCCTCGCTGCACTACACGTAGGGTCTCCAAGGCTGGCGGAGCCTCAGGCGCTTGAGGGAAAGCGCGGGTTTGAGAGAGGCTCCACCCCAGTGGTCCTTGGCCAATCCCAGGCCAACACTGGGGCAGGCACCACCCCCAAACCCTCAGACCCTGCCCACAAAAGACTCCACCGATCCCAGGTACCTTTTCCAGTCCCAGGTACCTTTTCCAGTCCCAAGCACAACCCCCGCCCCCAAGCCGTGCAGGCCACCAATCCAAGGCTCGTTCCAGCCCCAGCTCCACCTACGCGTGGTGACGACGATGGAGACCGGCGCGCCCTCACGGTCCCCAACAAATGCTGTCACTCGCACTGAGTAGCTGACCCCTCCTTCCAGACCCCTTATTTCTGCGGAATCCGTGTTTCCTGGGAGAATCTTGTGTCTCGTAGGGCCACCTGGCCAGGTGAACACAAAGCAATAGTGAGGGATGGGGATGGCTAAGCCTAGCGGCGCTCCCAGCCGCGAAGGACAAGAATGGGGTCATGGAACTATACCCTCGCTCTGGCCCCAGGCCAGCTTGTAGGAGGTGGCTCCAGGGACCCCCACCCAGGTGATCCGCAGAACATCACTGGAAGCATTGAGGATCTGCAGCTTCGACACGCTGCCCACCGGCACAGGGTCTGGGGGTAGAGGCAAGGTACAGAGTCAGGGGCCACTGGACGGCTGGCAGCGAATGGGCTGGCAGTGCACGCGTGATTATCGCAGGGAGGTCTAATGGTGAGGTTAGTGTGGACAGGTCAGTGTAGGCAACCCCTAATCAGAAGAGGACCAGTGCCTTAGAACAGGCAATGGAGGACAGCCAGGAGGTCCCGCAAGCAGACACTTAGTCAACATGGAAAAGGTCAGTGTGGCAAAAGAAGTCACAGAGCAGTAATGGAGTGGGCAGCTGGAGCAGTCAGCATTACACAGCAGGGCGGGGGAGCCAGCGTGACGTGGTTGGCAGCTAGTCAAGGTCCACTCACCAGTCCTCACAACCACAGAGGCAGGGGTCCCATCCACACCAGCCACATGGGCCCACACTTGCACCGTGTACTCAGTGTCTGGCTCCAGCCCATCCAGCTCAGCTACATTGGCTTCCCCAGAGACCAGCTGGTATTTCTCTGGGCCTGGGAATGGGGATGGAGGCATCTCTAGGACTAGCCAGAATCTACCTCCCATTGCCCCATTTGGACCCCTGAGATACTCCCAGCACCCAGACCCACCTCCCACAACCCTCCAAAACCCTGGCCCCACCGTGGCCTGAGCGCCAGGAGATCCTATATCCCGTGGCACCAGGAACCCTGTTCCAGGCGATGGTGACAGATGAGCTGCTGGTCTGAGTCACATGGACTGTCCTCACGGAGCCCAGTGGGTCTGGGGAGAGAAGCAATGGGGAGCCTGATGGAGGAGGTCTAGTGGGGGAGGGCCATGTAATAAGGGAAGGCTATGAGAGTCTACTAGCAGGCAGGGATCTGATCTGTGGTGAATAGCTCAGATGGGGGGGGGGCGTGGAGATTCTGATGGAGGCAGTAGTGGGAATCAAAAGTGACAGATGATAGGAATTTGAGAGACAGAGGGTCTGACAGAGAAGATAGTAGGGTTCTGATGGAGGCAGTAGGAAGTGGTCAGGGATTCTGACAAAGGACAAGATGTAAGTCTAAGAGGAGAGTTGGGTGCCGCAGAAAAGGTAGTGTGGGCCTGACAGTGGTGATGGAAATCTAGGGCGAAGATAGTGGGGTTTTAGAGGAGAGGCAGAGGAGCCTACAGAAGGTGGGGCATTGAAAGGAGGCAAGGGAGACTAAAGGGGGAAGTAAGGGGCCTGAGGGAGGTGCCAGTGGGAATCTGAAGGGGGAGAGGAGTTCTGGGGAGAAGCCAGTTTCTGAGAGGGGAAGCCTGGGGGTCTGACCGGTTCGAGCCACGATCACCACACGAGGGCCCTCTTCTCTCCCTCGTAGTGCTGACACAGCCACTTGGTAGGAGGTTCCAGGCCGCAGCTCCAAGATATCTGTGGCAGTAGATTCTGGGGGCAATGTCCTGCTGGACTCTGGACCTAGGGTCAGACAGAAGTGCTGGCATGGCTCCTGCCTGCCCATGCAGTCCCATACCCTGGTCATTCCCCTCGGCCACCCTCCCCCCACACCCCTCACTGACCATCATCTGCTCTCCAGGTAACTCGAAATCCACTGGCTCCAGGAACAGGTCCCCAGGCCACCCTCAGTCGAGTTGCGTCTGATCCTACGACCCGCAGCCCTGAGATGGCAAGTGGGGTTTCTGGTTCTGGGGGTTAAAGGCAGAGATCAGGGATGAAGACCTGGCTTGGAGTGAGTCAGACCGCTGTCGCTTATGCTTCTGCAGAGCTCACCCCGGCGGATGGTAAGGAGGCTGGCGCTACCCTCGCGGTTGCCCACTCGAGCAGACACCCGCACAGTGTAGCTCAGCCCAGCCCGGACATCATCCAAGTCGAAGGCTGTCTGTCTCCCAGGAAGCACCAGGGTCCGCTCAACCCCTAGGGAGAAGGCAGGGTCAGTGGGAGACAGGGGTGTGGATGATGGTGACAGGTAGGCGCACAGGATATAAAGGGTCAGGAAGGGACAGACCAAGGGATGAAAAGGGTGAGAGACCAGACATGGGATTAAAGGAGTCAGCAATAGACAGTGACAGCGGGTAACAAACCAGGGATGAACAGGGACGTAGGGTAACAGGGGCGCGGGACAGAGGATGATGGAAGTCAGTGGGCAGCAGTGTGAGTCAACAGGTCATAGACAGCGATGTGGGGGACAGGCTCGGGACAGGATGGAGAGTGTGGACACGGTCACTGCTAAGGCAATGGAAGGGCAGGTGAGTGAGCTTATGGCTGTGGAGAGGGTGAAAGTCATGGCCAAGGATGTGGGTCAGGATGTGAAAAGAGATTCAGGTGAAGGTAGATGGGGCAGATGGATCCTGTGACAGGGCTGGGCTCAGTGCCAGTGGTGGACAAACAAGGAGACCAGGGGCTGTAGAGATCCAGGAATAGGAAGAGATGGGGAGAAGATGCAATCAGAGCCCAAGGGCTGAAACTTTATGTGTTTTGTGGGGAGGACGGGGTGCTGGTTATGTCCACCTCACCCTGGGTGCTGCGCACATTGATGCGGTACTCAGTGGCACCAGGAACTGGGCTCCAGGACACTCGAACACGCTGCCCAGGCAGCTCGGTGGCCTGTAGGTCTGTCACAGTGCCCACAGGCAGCTCTGGCCCTGTTGGAAGGTTGTATGAGAGGCAGCCTGGACCCCTGGCCCTTCCGCTCTCACTTGACCAGTCCACAGAACCCTCACCAGTGGGGACCACAGTTGCAGGTGTGGCCACCTCACGCCCCTCAAGCAGGGTATAGAGCGTGAGGCGATACTCAGTGCCTGGCTGAAGTCCATCCAACTGATAATGGGTCACATCAGGGGACAGCACCACCTTCTGTGGTGGCTCCAGGCCTGCAAGACGACAGGGTCTGTTCAGCTGAAGCCAAATCCTAACCCTGCCAGCCCGCCCCTCCACCTGCACTGACCACTCTCCCGCCGCCACTCCAGCCGATAGCCACGGGCCTCAGGTACCAAGTTCCAGGAAAGAAGGATGGATGTGGGGCCCAGGATGACTGCGCGCAGGGTCTGCTCAACAGAAGTGTCTGCCCAGGGCACAAGGGACATCAGCTTCTGGGCCTTGTCCTGCCTGCACACCCCGCCTGAAGAAAGCACCCATCCTTCTCACCAGTGCGAGCAGTCAGGGAGTTGGCAGGCCCCACACTACGGCCAAACAGGGTGCTCACAGTCACCTCATAGTCTGTGCCAGGCTCCAGGTCATGCAGCAACACTGACCTCTGCCCAGCACCCACCTCCTGCTGTTGTGTGGCCCCACCTGCATGGGCACACAGAGGGGTCAGTGGGCCTTGCAGGCTCAGGATCCTTAATCCTATCTGAGATACAGGGACCCCCCCTTGGCCCACATTCTCACTCACCGCGGGTCCGCCATGTCACACGGTAGCCAGTGGCACCTGGCACACTCCGCCAGGCCACCAGGAGGCTGTGGGCTGTGGTATTCTGGATGCTCAGCTCCGGCCCCTCAAGGGCAGCTGGGGGAAGGTCCCAGCAGGGATTAGTGGAGTCAGGAGTGGGGAGGGATGGGTGGTTAGGTGAGGGGGGTCAGAGGTTAGTAGAAATGCTCACTGGTCCGAGCCGTCCCACTCACGGCCTCCCCGATGCTGTTGGCATAGAGGGCGACCACAGTCACTTGGTACTCGGTTAGTGGCCGGAGATCCTGCAGCCACATGCTGGTCTCCCCAGCTGGGACGCTCACCTGCCCAAAATCACAGGCCACTTTATCTTGCCCAACCAAATCCCCAGCCCTCACCCAGCACTCCTGACAGCCTTACCTCCCGCCGCTCACTTGGCAGCGGCTGTCCCAGCCCTGTCAGAGGGGTGTACTGGACCTTGTAGCCAGTCACAGGACCACTGGCCGCTGTCCACTGTACTCGCAAGGATTGACTCCCTGCCTCAGACAGCACCAGGTCTCGTGGGCCAGAAGTGGAGTCATCCGCTGGGGAAGGGGTATCAAGCAATCAGCAGGAGGATCGGGATTTAGAACTTACAGGGTAGAGTTGGGGTCAAAGATCAGGACCACAAGGGGAAGGGTCAGCACGTCCAGGGCAGGATCAGAGGACAGCACCCCCGGATTGGCATCAGGTTGGGATGGGGATTGGGAATGCAGGTCTGGGCACAGGGTGTGGGTGGGAACTCACGGGGCAGGGTCACAGGCACACCACCAGCCGTTGTGCACACCCTCCGGGAAATGAGGGGCAGTAGCGTCCTCAAGATGCTGAAGTCATTGACGAAGAAGAAGAAATCGCTGGTCGGCTGGGAGGCAATGCGTTTCAGCTCCTCGGGGTCAGCGTTCTTGATCCCTGAGGTGATGTCCAGTCAGGGCTCTGCTGCCCGTGGGCTCTCTGTCTGGCCCCGGCCCCAGCTGACCTGTTCCCTGGCTTGGTACTCACCCACAGCAAACAACTTGACCCCCTGCCCCTTCAACTTCTGAGCAGCTGTATCCACCATGTCCTGGGACTTCCCATCTGTGATCAGGATGCAGACCTGGGGCAGGTGCAGGGTTCAAGTCAGGGCGGCCTCACACATTTCACTTGGGCTCACCTTGGGAGGCACGGTAAAGTGAAAGATCACCTTGGGGACACCAGGTCTGGCCAGCTGGGGCAGAAACACATGGTCGGCCACGTGGAGAATCGCAGCCCCTGTGCGCGTGTTGCCCCCCTTGTAGCTGAGCTCACGGATGGCACGGATCACATCACCCCCTGAACCAAGCGCGTCCAAGCCAAACTCTGTCCTGTGGGGAAGAAGGGTGGCAACATGCTAGGGACAGGGAACTTTTCTAGCCTTGGCCTCTAGGAAGCTTCTGGGGTAATGGTTGTGAGTATCTGGCCTCCTGAGGGCCCCTTTGGTTCTGTGATGCCTGCCCTCCACCTCTAAAGCCCCCAAGCTAACAAACCCTTTAGGAGTCCCTTCATGCTCTGCCTGTGGCTGGGCCTGTGGCAGGCCTGGAGTACTTGGGGTTCACAATCTTGGGGTGGTACTCACCCACAGCAACGTTTGGTTAATTAAATAATTGTAGGAAGAAGGGCCCAGTTGTCAGGAGGTTGACCTTAGCCAGACAGGGTGAGTGGTCAGGAGGCCAGAGCAGGACGAGTCCAACAGGCCTGGAGCATGAGTCCGCTGGGCCCCCTCCTGAGCTGTCCGTCTCCAGACCAGAGCACACAAGCCCCTGTCTTCCGCAGGACACTAGCCTGGAGGTGTCTCAGAAGCCAGGGCTCTACCCAGGAGCTCCCTGCCTGTCTCCCACAAGGACCAAGGGCTGAGAGGTAGGAGTGGGGTCTCTGGTTCCCCAAATCCTGACCTAGGAGTTTCTGTGCTCTCCATTCCGTGCGGGAGGGACAGGACCTGGCGGGATCTCTGGGTTCCCAGATGGACGCCAGGGGCCGACCACTCACCGCGGGTCATCGCTGTACTGCACCGCAGCGAAGCGCACGCCCTGTGCACTGGCTGTCCCAGAAAAGGGCAGCACCAGCCCCTCAAGGAAACCGCGCACTTCACGGAAGTTGCTTCGGCCAATGGAAGAGGAGCCGTCGAGGAGGAACACGATGTCGGCGGAGTAAAGGTGTGTGCAGGTGACTGGGCGGAGAGGAGAGGTCACCGCGGCCCCTCGAGATCACCCTGCCCCTCCCTCGCACCTGGGACCAGGGAGTGGGGCGTGGAGAGAAGGCCCGTCTGCGGCGCGAACCCGCCCAGGCCGGCTGGGCCCCGGAGCCCGGGACTTGGAGTTGCGGGGGGGCGGGGGGGGTGCAGCGCAGGCTCTCCCGCCCCAGGAGCCCCTGCTCGGGGAGAGCCGCCCGCGCCGGTGTGGGTGTGGGACCGAGGGAGCGCGCGGAGTGACACCGGGCTGGCGACTCCGGGGAGCCCGGCCTTGGGTCCGAAAGGACAGGTTGCGACTTGAGAGACCAAGCGCGGGTCGCGGGGGTTCGGGGAGTTCGGGGAGAGCGGAGGGGCGCGCGCCTGGTGGTGAGGATGGGAGGCAGGGACCCGGGATGAAGGCCGAGCGGAACCGCGGGTGACGGGGTGCAGCGCCCCGGCGAGGTCCTTCCCTGCCGTGCCCACCTCTCTCCCTGTGCTGGGCCCGCACTCGGGGCGCCCCTGCCAGGATCCCCGCGCAGAGCGCAGCCACCAGGAGCCGCAGCCTCATCCTGGGTGGAGGAAACGGTCGGCCGGGACCCCCGCCTCGGTCCCTCGGCCCGCGCCTCCTAGAGGAGCCGAGCGCGGAGCTCCCCCGCCCCCAGGATGGGTCTTGCCTGCGCGTCCTGCTCCGCCGCCAGCGCAGTCCCACCGCCACGGCAGGGAAAAGTCCCTGATCCCGGGGGCGGAGCAGCGGGCGGGAGCCCAGGCGGCCCGCCCCCACCCACCGTCCCCGAGGTCGCCGCCCCACCACACCTCCCCTAACGGAAGATTTGTCTCTGCCCAAGTATAAAGCCCCCTACCTTCTATGGCGATTGGTAACCCCCCCCCCAAGGTTCTGCTAAATGATCCCCCTTCAATCCCATCTGGGGTCAGAGATCTTGGCTGCTTTAGGTCAAACGCAGTGATTAATGAAGTAACTACTGGAGACTGGAATTCTTAGGTTCTTGGGGGTGCAAGAGACAGCAGATGGTGGGGTGCGGGATGGGGAAGCTACAGCTGGAGATGACTCACCTCTCACTCTATGGGGGTGCCCAGACAAGCCTTGAGGCCATGAGTCCCGCCGGCTACTCCTGTGATTCAGCCATCCCTCTGTCTGTTGGGCCTCCTGTGCCCCACCCTATCCCCTTGACAGACAGAGCACCCCCTAGCAAATGAGGGGTTCAGTCAACCAAGGCATCACGGGACTGCTTCCAAGTAATGCCCACCCCCACCCCTTTTGGGAGGGGAAGCCAGGAGAGAACCTGTCATGCGTCCGCATGCTTGTCCATCCCTGTACCTGTAACCCCTACCAAGCCCCGAACTAGTCCCAGGAATGCCATCCAGTTGTGCCTGCAAGGGGGGGAGGGTGCTGTCCATATGTGGAGGTGGGACCACCCATAGTGGCAGCTCAGCTCTCTACAATCCACCCCCACCTGCCTATACCCCCTCTGTTGGGTCTGCCCTGCCCCAGGGCAGGTCCCCTTATCCACACTTCCTCATCTGTCCTGCCAGAGTCCCTTCCAATCTATTCTTTGTGGATTTTTTTATTTTTAAAGATTTATTTTTATTTATTTATGCATACAAGAGTTGGGGTGTAGGCCAAAGGTGCAAGGAGTGGGGGTGAGAGGATTCACCAGAGACAGAGTGGGGAGCAGAGTGGATCTACTGAAATACTCTGCTGAGGGGAGCAGTGGGCAAGACGGGAGAGGTCTGCTGCACCATGTGGGTTGCTCCCTGACTGGGGATCCAACTCCTTGCAATGGCTGGCGATAGCTCGATAGTGCTGACTTTAACCCCCCACACCACCAGGGAGGCCATCTTTGTGGAATTTTTTAATTGAGTAATATCAGTTTATAGCATTATATAGGTTTCAGCTGCACAGTCTATTAAATCAATGTCTGTATCGACTACCTTATGTTTGACACCAGAACTCTAGTTTCCATGCACCCCCATCCAGAGGACCTCTTTTACCTGATTTCCCACCTTCCTTCTCCTCCCCTCTGGTAACCACTATCTTATTCTTACAGTCTGAGTTTGTTTTTGTTTTCTTTAAATCGTTTGTTTGTTTTGTTTCTTTATGTATGCATATGTGTGAAATCACACAGTGTTTGTCTTTCTGTCTGACTTACTGCACCAAGCATAACACTCTTCTTGAACACCCCCTTTCACCATAATCCCAGCAGGCCCAGAGGGCATTCTAGGCCCCTCCCTCAGTTCCTCCCGGCCCTCACGCCCTCATGGTTGGCTCATTAGTAGTTTGCACCTTCCTAACTACATCCCACTCCTCTCCCCCTAAGCAGCTTGGCTTCCCACTCCCCTCCTCAATTGACCTTTGTGCCTGTGGACAGTCCTCCCAACACCCCAGGTCAGGGTTGTTGTCCTGAGGGATCTGTATATGCTTATCTGTTCATTAGGGGGATGACATCCAGGTACAGAGATGCTCCCAAGAAGAGCAGGTTCACTGGATTTTTCCTGCCAGTCCAGGATAATTCTGAGAAGCCCAGAATGTATATCTATACTCCCCCCTGCTGCTGGGCCCCTGTCAATATTCCTGGCCTACAATCTCCCCTGGGGATCCACAGGCTGAGTGGGGAGAGTTGGGGATGGCAATTCTGTTAAACTGGTTTCCCCTGGACTCCTCCAGGGCTGAGGTCTTTGGTATGGCCAGAGCTGAGGGCCATGAGGACCATCCATGCAACTGTTTTGCTACTGCCCAGAAGACGGGAGTTATAGGAACAACCCCTTTTGTCACTGACCCCTTCGTTAATTATCCTGGGATACAGTGCTGGGACCATGAAGCCCTGAATCTCCAGTCGGGCCTCCTCTGGTGGCACAGCGGTTGAGCGCTGGGCTGCGAAGCTGCCCTCAGCCTTTGTAGTGCCGGTTCGATCCCCGGCCGCCGCCAGCGAGGGTCCCACATGGTGCGCAGACCTCTCCTGCCGCCCGCTGCTCCCCTCAGCAGTGTACTTCATCAGTCTGTCTGTTCTGTTCCCTGCTCTGGCTCTGGTGAATTCTCTCACCCTCCCACGCTTCTGACAGTACCCAGTGCTTGTATAAATAAATAAATCTTTAAAAAAAAAAGTGTCCTCAGCTATGTCCCAGGACTCCCCCTCCCCCACCTTTCACAATTGTCCTACAGGTGAGAGTAGGAGAGAACCAGACATTCTCTTATTCTGCTTTATGGGTGGAGGTCGGGGGTGGGGGGGTAAGTATTTAAAGTGTGCAGGGAGAGCTGTAGGGGAGGTAGAAGTAGAACTGGAGCTAAGTGCGTGTATGGAGCTCCCTGGAGGCTCATGAGGCAGGATGTGGTCCTCTGAGGCTCCTGGCACATAGCCTACAGCACAGTCCCAGAGGCCAGTTCCTTTCAATCAACTCTGGCAGTGGGGCCCAGAGCTTTGTCTTCTCTCTCCCACGCTCCCCTGGACATTTTCTTCTCTGGCTTCAGTCATCACTTCGGCCATATGGCACCATATCTGCCAGATGGGGCCTCCTGTCAGGATTCCACACATCCCACTGTCCTCCAAAGTTCTCCCCAGAACTGTGCCAAAGCTGGTAAGGTCAACTTACCCCTCTCCAAGGTGACTTGTCCTCCTGGGGATGCTGCCTACTAGTGCCCCCCATAGCCATGACCTTGGCTTGGCCATAGTGCTGTTCACCAGGATGCCACAGAAATCCCACCCGAGAGTCTCCATGTGGAATGTCAGGCTCACCCAGTCACTCCTCTTCCCAGTCACATCCAGTGTACCTCCCCAGCATGTCTATTTTTACTTTTTTTTTTTTAGGATTTATTTATGCATGCAAGAACTGGGGGACAGGCCAGAGGTGAAGGGGATGAGAGGATTCACCAGACAGAGCAGGGAACAGAACAGGCAAACTGACTGAAATACACTGCAGAGGGGAGCAGCTGGGGAGACAGATCTGCTGGTCCATGTGGGTTGCTCTCTCGCTGGTGGGGGATTGAACTCCTGCTGCAGAGGCTGCTGATAGCTTCACAGTGCTGTACTTAACCCCTTGTGCCACCAAGACATGCCCCCTGCAGCATGTCTTCAGAGGAAAGATGGAGTTCCTTGACTGGGTATGCAAGGCCCACCAGGACCAGGTCCACCAGGACCAGAAGCTAGAGCAAAGTTCAGCACACTTGTAATCTTTGAGATCAGGCCCAGGCTTAGTCCCCATCCTCCAGGAGCTCAAACTTAAAAGCAAGACTGTCCCCCTGGCCTGGTATGCAGCATCTATAAGCACCCGGTGTGCAGGGGGAGTTGTGGGGGGCAGTTATCAGTTTTGTACTGTTCAGCAGCTTCTCTCCAGCTGGCCACAGAACAGGGTGACAATTTGAATCCCTTAACACTGGATTCTAGAAAGCGCTTGACAGGTATTTCCTCATTGACTGCCAGTGGCAACAAATAGAGGTGAGGGAAAGGCACTGGGGTAGGATGGGTGTGATTAGAGGGTTGTTTTGGCTATTGCAAGGCTGCCATCCTGGGGAACTTCTGAATAGACCTCATCAACCCCTGTGCTAGGACTCTTGCTCATAATTACCAGCAGCTTCTTCCACACAGGAAAACCTATTTTCCTTTCTTAGCACCCATGGAAGTTATGAAAGGGCTGTGAGGGGCACAGGAAATGCCTACCTCCCACCTGCCTTGGGGACCAGAACTCAAAGGTGGCAGGAGTCCCGACTAGACAGCTGAGCTCTATCAGATCCTGGCCTCAGGGAGATGGGGAGGGGATTGTCAGGCCAGCAGCTCAGGACTTGCCTGGCACAAACCTAGTCAAGGGAGGGGGCTCAGGCCCCACTGAGCTCAAGGATATTCTTGGAGTCTGAGTCAGAGGCAAATGGAGGCAAAGGATTCTTGCTGTGCCTGTCCAGGCAGCAGTTAGAAACCAAATGGGAACACTGTGCCCCAGGCTATCCTCCTCCCAGAATGCAGAGTAAACATAAAGGCCTCTTCAGGGAGGGTCTGTGGCCCCTACTGGACCATCTGGGGGACCAGAGACCGTGGGAGAGTGATTGCATAGGGCCCACAGTGAGGGGCTTCCCACCTGAGGCCACTGGCTAAGCCCTCTACTAGGGCAAAGGTTGGGTCTGCAGCCCCAGGGGACTTTGTCCCACACCCCTGTTAGGACAGACTGGCTAGGAGCATCCCCCATGTGGCTAAACAGAAACATCTGGTCAGCTCCCTGCAGGCATCAAAGGCTTCCTGCCTCCGTGCTGCAGCCCCCACACTTGCCCCTTGCTGAGTCAGACACATCAGCTTGTGGGAAGACAGAAAGATCCAGGGGGTACAGAATGGCAGGGGGAGGGGGAGAATCCCTGCCACCCCATCCACTGCCCAGTGGTCTTCACATCAGTGCGAAGAGATGGACAACACAACTCTCAACACAAAATTTTATTGGTGGTAATCTGTAGCACAGGTTTGAAGAGCCAAAATGGTTATGTTTGCAGATGGAGGGACCACGAACCTGGCTCCGCCCTCTTGCCTGTACAGGCTTCTTGCCTAGAAGCGCAGCCAGAACATGCCACTGCGGATCCGGTTATAGTCTGGAAGCTGCTCAATGGGGCCTGTGGGGATAGGGTGGGGAGTCAGGGTGGGGTACCTGGCCCTTACAGGGACACCTGGCC